TATTAGTTATTTCAGTTAAAGACTACAAGTTCCTTTATATGTTTGTATGCAGAAACCCACAAAGATTTGGATATGTTTGTTTGTCGAACCCACAAAGATTTAGGTAGAGCCCATAAAGGTTTGGGTATGTTCGAATAAAGAACCCACAAAGGTCTGGGCTTATATTTATTATTCATGATATTATTTTCTTATTATAAATATATTTAGAGAGAATGATATTTTTCACTAAAGTGGTTGGAATGATTATAGTTCGAAAACCTCAAAATTACTGAGATTTATTTTATGTGTTTGTTTTTATGCTAATCTTTCCAGAGAATAAACAGGCCAATATGTGCAACTTTGGAGTAAGGTAAAACACTATGGTTAAAGATTTTGAAGACTGTATGAAGATCAGTGGAGTGATTGATGAAATAGAAATATTTCGTGTCAGATTAGATATGATGTAATATAGTCCTTTTCATATGTAATAGTGAACTCAATTTTCGACTAATGTATAATTAAATTTTAAGTATATTTCATTTAAGATATGATTTAAGAAGTAACTTAATTTTATTATTACGCTGCGCTTAATACTATGCAATGTTAACACATCGGTAGGTAAAAAGGTGTTAGATTTTATGGTATCAGAGCATACTAATTCAAGGAAATAAATGACTTATATTATTTGTTGCTTGGTATTTTGTCATAGGTCATGCATATTTTGAATTAATAGTATTGAGCCTAACCAACTCACTACCATGAAATAATATATGTAGATTTATGGTAGGTACAGAACAAACATCTAGGCAATTTATATGTAGCGGAAGCGAGGTGAGTTTTAGGTAATTGAACAAAGTTATTTAGAAATTTTGAATGTATGTTGAAGTTTTGGTGACAAAAATTTATTTAGAAGAGGGGAAAATACAAAAAAAATGCACTATTCATTTGTAATGCTCACTGGCACAAAAAATGTTGAAACGACACAAGAAGCGCCAAATGTTGTCTTATAATAGCACAAGAAACACCGAAATGACGCAAGAAGCTCTAGAAAGGGCGCAAGAAGCTCTAGAAAGGGCGCAAGAAGCACCGAAACAATATAAATGGAATACTGATTTACGAGAACAACGTAATAATTAAAAATAAATAATAATAAAAAAAAATAAATAATAATAAAAAAAAATAAATAAATATTAAAATAAAATAATAATAATAATAATAAATAAATATGAATATAAAATATAAAATTAAAAATAAATATATAAATATTAAAATAATGTGATAATAACAAGTAAAGAATATGTCCACTAAAAAAAAATAAGAAAAACAAGTAAGGAATACGTGGAATACCCAAAAAGCAAACAAATAATTCTTACTAGATTTTTAGTTAGAATCTTATCTATATGTAATGATTAGTTGGTTAGATTTTTATTTGATTATATAAGGATTTCTTACTTAAGAAGTCAACAGTTAAGATTTGGTGGTAAGAAGCGGTAAACTTAATTGGTGGTAAGTATAAACTTCCTCGTGTATAGTAAGAGTAAGAAAGAAAGAAGAAAAACAATGAGAGAGAGACAAAACCAAGAAAAAGAAAGGAAAAGAAAGAAGAACCAAGAGAACAGAGAAAGGAACCAGAGAGAAAAAAGAAGGAAAAAAGAAAGAGAAGGAGGAAAAGAAGTGGGGAAAATAAGAAAGAAGATAATATTGGGGGAAAACCTTATTCTCTTAATTTTATTATTTTTATTTTATATATAAAGTTGATATTTTAAATTAATTTCTTTAAAAGCTGTGAATGTGTCCTTACTATGTTCCAATATTTTCTTCTGAATCTCTTCTACTATTTTGATTTATCTGTTATCTTTAAGTTTGTGGATTTTGATGAATTTATTCAATTAGTTATAAGAACGATCTTGAACCAAGAATATAGAATTAAGGAATTCTTTTGGTACCAAATGAATACTACGGAATATATAATCTTTTACTGAATAATTCTGATTTGACTGACCAACAAGGGGATTAAAATGGTTATAGGATAAAGGACGCTTATCATGGCTTGAGCTCCACCATACATGCAAAAACCCACAAAGGTTTGAGTATGTTTGTGTGTAGAACCCACAAAGGTTTGGGTAGAACCCATAAATGTTTGTGTATGTCTGAATCAAGAACCCATAAAGGTCTCAGTTTATATTTATTATTCATGATATTGTTTTCTTACTATAAACATATTTTGAGAGAATGATATTTTTCACTAAAGTGGCTGGAATGGTTATAGTTTAAAAATCGCAATATGATTGAGATTTATCTCACTTGTGTTTGTTTTTATGCTAACTTTTCAAGAGAATAAACAGGCCAATATGTGTTGCTTTGGAGTAGGGTAAAACACTATGGTGAAAGACTTTGAAGATTGTACGCAGATCAATGAAGTGATTGATGAAATAGAAACATTTCTTCTCAGATTAGATATGATATAATATAGTCCTATTCAAATGTAATATTGAACTCAATTTCTGAATATATAATTAAATTTTAAGTATATTTCATTTAAGATATGATTTAAGAAGTAATTTATTTTATTATTACGTTGCGCTTAATACTATGCAATACTGGTACGTAGCGGGATGTTACAGAAGGTACCCTTAATTTTCCTTCCCCTCCTTTGCCCTTAGATTTCCAAATTCCCAAACACACCTTTAACAAAATCCAAATATGCTTTTCTGTTAATATCTTTATTGAAATAAAAAGTGATTATCCCAAATAATTTATCAAATCTAAACCTACCGACCTGACCTGGAACCCGGTGAACCTGTCATCGAACCAGTTTGAGTCAAGTATCGGATCGGCCATGCATCGGACCTGGTCAAAACTAATGACCCGGTCGGGTCATGCATTAAAAAAAAAACCCAAAAACCGAAATTGTTTCATCTTGTCAGAAAAAAAATGTAAAACTCATTTGAATTTTTTTTGTAATTTTATTTGCTAGTAGTATACTTTTTTACAATGACATCAAATTACAACTTTCAATACTGAAGCAATTTGCGGAATAATAAATTAAGAGAATGTGACATATGTCATTTCAATTTAGATGAATTTGAAAATATGAGTTCAAAACATCTGAAATTTTGAACTTAATATATAATGGAATACGAGCTTACCATCATTACAAGTAGAGCCGACAAAACGAGATTGGCTCGGTGGGCCAACCCGCCCCACCAGCTAAACGGGGCAAGGCGGGATGAGTTTTTCAACCCATCTCAAAAGCGGGCCAGGGCAGGGCAGGGCAGGATGGGCTCGTTTTTTGGCTGTTGATGGCGGGCATAGACAGATCAGTGTAAATAGGCTCGGGCTGACAGACCAACCCACCTAGCCCGCCAAACAGAGCGGGACGAGCTGATTCATTTTTTGGCGGGTTGATGGCGGGGCGGGTGGGGCTGGGCTGGGCGGGGCGAGCTGCCCACTTTGCTACCTCTAATTACAAGTAATCATAAAAAATTTGCTTCACTACGAAATTAACATTAAATTAATTAAATAATATTGGTTGCTTTAGATCTAAGTTGCATTCTATCGTCCACCGTAATGCATAAAAGTAATCATCTTATAAAAATTAAAAACATTATAAATTTCACATTTACATTTTATGAATTATTATTATTATTTTTTTCTTTGCGTATGATTCTCTAATTACTAATGTAGTGATATTTAAATTTAAGTAGTTTTATGGTGTGTGTTTTTTTTCTTAAAACCTAATTTCGATTTACTCGTGTGAAATTTTGTACACTACCATTTTGATAATAAATTGTTACATCATTAAAATAATTAACCTACTTGAGAAGTGGTAAGTGAGATTGATTAAATATAATTAGGATACCAAAAAAAAAAAAAAAAACATAACCAATTTACCGATTATCCTTCATTAATTTTGTAGAGATGCACGGTAAACAAAAAATTGTAGAGTTACGAAGGGTAATTTATGTATGGGAAAATTAAATCTTATGTAATAGGAATTAGATTTTTTTTCTTTAGCTCTCCTATCAAAAATAGCGCTACATGTTTTTTGTTTTTTTTTTCTCTCGTAGGACTCCCTATTGGCTGTGTCTGCTGGAATAGAATTCTTATAATGCAACATAAGAATTTCATTGCCCTGTATGTATTTGGTAAATTTTGTTTTATAAAAAAAAATGTTGCCAAATGTTCCAATCATGATTGGCAGTTCCATATTTAATTAGCCTCGTAGGATTAAGTCAACTGAATTGCTGTTTAAACAATCTCTAATTTTTTTAACCGTTGGATGAAGCGAATCAGAGTATTTTTTTGTTTCTTTTAGTACAATTCAACGGTGAGTTACCGACATTAACAGTTCAGAGTTTAGACGTTGCTTTCCTGTTTGAGTAGGACACGTGGACAAGTAGTTGTGGCGTTGCAATGCCAATGATATGTAGAGGTGCACGGTAAACAAAAAAAAGGTAGGCGAGAACTGAAATTTCCAAAAGCATGGGGAGATAAATTATATATGTACGTATATTTATATATAGAGATATGATCTTTGATATTAGTGTCAAATTTGAAATTTGACATCTCATCTGAGAGCTGTTAGATTCAAAAAGATCAATGACTTTGATTTGTAAGCATGTGACACCATTGATTCTTTTGGATCTAACGGCTCTCAGATGAGATGTCAAACTTAAAATTTGACACCAGTGTCAAAGGATCCTACCTTATATATATAATATAAGTTCTTTTTTCTGAAGTGAAGGTAGATAATTTATTTATATTGAGCTCAAAATAATATTGTTTTAAAATAGAAATTAATATATTTTTGTAATTATAATTTATTTCAGGGTTATAATAATTTTTTTCATTATAATTTTTTAATTTTTTAAATCTAAAACGATATCTTTTTGACATTTACTCTACAAACATTAAAACCATATAATATATATATATGGTCAATTATTAAGTAAAAAATATATGAAACATACAACAGTATGATAATAATAAATAACATTAAATATGGAAAGAAGAGGAAGAAAAGGAAAGAGCCAAGTGGGTCAGAGGCACACGTTATGAGCAGGCAATTCCATGTGCCCACATGGATGAGGGAAAGAGTTAGAGAAGGAAGAAGAAGATGAAGAACAGGCAGCACAACAACATCAACTGAAACATCCAAAACCCAAAAAAAATAAAAAAAATCTAATTTTTCTCTGTTGTTTTACACTAGAGACATAATCATATACATAAGAGAAAAGATATAGAAAGGTTGAAAAAGAAGATGAAGGAAAGCAGTGATGGGTTTGTGAGGGCAGATCAGATTGATCTGAAGAGCATAGATGAACAGCTTGAGAGACACCTCAACAAGGTATTGATCATAGACAAGAAAAAGCGAACAGAAGAGGAAGATGTTGATCATGTTCATGTTCACACAAGTGCTACTTCTTCACCAACTTCCATTAAATTCAAAGGTGCTGGTGGGGTTACCTTCAAGAAGCAAAAGCAGGAGTGGGAGATTGATACTTCTAAACTAATCATCAAGAGTGTTATAGCACGTGGCACTTTTGGCACGGTTCATCGTGGTGTCTATGATGCCCAAGATGTTGCTGGTCAGTTTTTTTTTTTTTTTTTTTTTAATTTTAGTTTTTGGGATCAATTTCACTCATCAGATTCAGATGCTTAATTCCCCTCCCACCAAAGTTAAAGCAGGGGGATTTTATTTAAACATATATTTTCTCGTGATTTCCAACTCTTTTTTTTTTTTTCTTTCTTCTTCAAAATAAAGTTTTTGTTTTTATCTTCAACTAATGGATGCAGTTATAAAAGTTCCTAATTTTCAATTCAATTTCGCCAATTCCCTTGAGCTTCTGAATTTTCTTGAAAGGAGTTGACTTTTACAATGATGGGCCGTTTTTTTTTTTTTTTTTGGATCGATTCCTATGCAGTCCTTAATTCATGTCTGGGGTTGAATTTGTGGGAATAATTGTAACTTGGATGATGTTTTTAGCGTCTTAAAATCCATGTGATTCCAGGTTTTGGTCTTATGGTGCGGTGTATATAATTAAATACGGTGTTATTGTTTCGTTGGTTATTCTTTTGGTAGAATTAGTGGTTTTCCTTTTCTGCATTTCACTGATCACAGTTATTGTGACTACTTACTTAATGCTCAGTTAAATTGCTGGACTGGGGTGAAGAAGGCCAAAGGACAGAAGCTGAAGTTGCTTCCCTAAGGGCAGCATTTATACAGGAAGTTGCTGTTTGGCATAAACTTGATCATCCCAATGTCACAAAGGTTAGTTTCGATTTCTTTTCATTTGTTTGTGTTGTTGTTATTATTGCTTGTTGAGCTTGTGGTTTTAATGTTACACAGGCTAATATTATTTGCATATTATTTTTTATTTGTGGGGAGGGATCCATCCAAACATAGAACTTTTTGCCTTCTGAGGTCCTATGAACTTATCAGCTGAGGGTGTCATTTGCAAAAGAATGCAACTCAGTCCTTCTTTATAACTATACCTTTGCATATTATGTCTATGAGTACCTGCTTTCAGTTTTAGACTATCTTTGTTGTTGCTTACTTGCATATAATGTCTTTCAAGGGTGTCAAGTGATTAGGTCTTTTGCTAATTCTGTAATAGTCATGGATACAAAGTTATGTAGGTTAACTTTTCTGGGATTTCCTTCGTGTGTTGTCCCCATCTTCCCAACCCCCTTCTCTGTGCTCCCATCACTTGCATTCAACTTAAGTTTGCTTGCTACTGTTGAATGGGTTTCTTTCTTTCGATGTTGAGGGCAATTGTTATGATTTTTTTTTTAATCTTCATGGACATTGTTTTAAGAACTTAAGGTGTGCAGGTTGTCCTGTTATAATGTTATTCTAGAAATTTTTATTTGTGAAATATAAGAAACTCAAATATTTTATGAAAGTAATCTAGAAGTGAATCTTGTTATTGGAAATTCAAGTGTGAGGGAGGCACACATTAATTTAGAATAGACTGTATGATCACCATATAAGTGAACAACTTATATACTCATTGTCATGAGGTTTTGGGTTAGCCTATTTATTGTGCATTTTCACTTACCCATTGGTGGTGGTAGTTTTCCTCTATCATGGGCTTCCATGGTCACCTAACACTTATTATATTGAAAATTATTCCCAACATAAGCTGAACTGTCCTAGATATGTTTTTCTCTATTTTTGTTTCTGATTCTCTCTTGATAATCTAATTTTTAGTTAGTATATGGAACCTTAGAATAATTTTGACAGTAAGAGATGACATTGAATGAGATTGTTGTGATTTGTAAGTTGGAACAGATTAATCTGAGTCTGCCTGTAGAGAATCTTCACAGAAATATCATTGCATAGCTAGCGGCATTGGCTACAGATAATATTCCCTTATTAACAAGATAGAGCTTGAATTCAAGAGTTTTAAGATGATCCTTAGTTGAATGTATTTTAACATATTTAGTTTATTTCTTTCTTTTTATAAAAAGCAGTTTTGTAGAAATCTCTGTTGACTATAGCCTATTCATTACAAGTTGATTATAAGAGAAGTAACTTGACTACAGCCTTTCCAATAAAAGTATAGAACTCTAATTTTATCATGCTAATCTGTTATACTCGGTTGATCTTAAGAATGAATACTGATAACTTTATATAAAATAGTCGTTTTTGGTATTATCATTCAATGCATTATTTATTGCAACTTCAGAGTGCTCTAAACTTGAACTAGTCTTTTAGGTTGGAGGATGAAAACGGATGTGAATAGGCATTTTCCATTTTGGTTCAGCGTCTCTGCTTCTGTTGAACAAAGCTTGTAAATAAATAAGCCAGCCTACCAACATTTTTTGAAATTTACTTATCATGAAAGCTTTAAGTCTTCAGGTTTCTATAATTTACGTTGAATCTGTTCTTTGGAAGAATTGATATGTTTATTACTGTTTTCTCCTCTAAATGAACTCCAACCGTTTCTGATTGAAGAAAAGATATCCTGTATCTTCATTACATCTAAGTCCATTATTTGATATGCTGGGGTGTCTTGTTCTTTGTCCTACCCTTTTCTGGGACAAAGATGCACATAGGTATAGAGAACAAGTATGATCATGGCCCTCTTTTTTCTTTTTCTTCATGACATTTTCTCTTTCTTGTACTATCTTGTGATATTTTGCAGTTAATTTGAGGGTATAATGCACTTTTGCATGCAAGCATTTTTATTCTGAAACTATATATGTTTTCCATGTTTAGTTTATAGGGGCAACAATGGGGTCTTCAGAATTGCAGATACAAACTGATAATGGTCTAATTAGCATGCCAAGCAATGTTTGTTGTGTTGTTGTGGAGTATCTTGCTGGAGGTACGCTGAAATCATATCTAATAAAGAACAGGAGGAGGAAGTTAGCTTTTAAGGTTGTCATCCAGCTGGCACTTGATCTTGCAAGAGGGTATTTGTCTATTTTAATTGTGGTTTAGCAGGTTGGGAACAATAATTGTCCCGTGATTCTTCTATGTAACTAGAATTCACTTGGTTTTACAGGCTGAGTTACCTTCACTCTCAGAAGATTGTCCATAGAGATGTAAAGACAGAGAACATGCTGTTGGACAAGACACGCACAGTAAAAATTGCTGATTTTGGGGTTGCACGTGTCGAGGCATCAAATCCTAATGATATGACTGGGGAGACTGGTACTCTTGGTTATATGGCTCCAGAGGTGTGTAGTCACTACCTATGAAAAAAAAAAACCTTTACAAATTAGAAATCATTGTACTAGCATGTATGCCATAGTGGAAGCTTTAGTGCAAAGGCGTGCAGTGTCCAAATATATTTCATCTGTTTCTCCAGTGAGGATAAATGATGACCTTAAAAGTGGCAGCTAATGATGTGTGAAACTGTGAATAAGAAAAGAAAAAGATGAGATAAAAGTTTTTAATTTGATCAAAGAGAAAGCCTTTGTAATTGACTATTCATTTTTTTGTTTTCCCAATGGGGGTGTGGCTTATACAGGTTTTAAATGGCAACCCCTATAACAGGAAATGTGATGTGTACAGTTTTGGTATCTGTTTATGGGAGACATATTGTTGTGACATGCCATATCCTGACCTAAGTTTCTCAGAAATTACTTCAGCCGTTGTTCGCCAGGTATATTTGCTACTCTTTTTGAGTTATTGTCTCACTTGAGCAATGCATGTTTATCAGTGTGGAATTTTCTCTTGGAATGTTAGAATTTGAGACCAGAAATACCAAGATGTTGCCCAAATTCTCTAGCACATGTAATGAAGAAATGCTGGGATGCCACTCCAGATAAGCGGCCAGAGATGGATGAGGTAGTTTCCATGCTGGAGGCCATTGACACATCAAAAGGTGGAGGTATGATCCCACTTGATCAACAGCAAGGTTGTCTTTGCTTCCGCAAATATAGAGGACCTTGAAGTTACTATATTCTTTAGTCCAGCAAACAATTTGGTTATAGTGGTTTTTCACTATTTGAAAAATCAATATGTATCTATGGTGAGAAAACAGGAATTTGGATGGATAATGAGTCATGACAGAAATACACAGTAGTGGTTATAGGTAGGAGGTGCTGATGACATGTCAAAAGCCTTGGATGTGTAAAGCTGTACCTCTGGTTTTCTTTTACCCTTACCTTTTTTCCCCCTCCTTGGTTTGGGTTTTGTTGGTATGGTGGGTATTAATTTCAGCTTGGCAATGTTGCCGGATTGGCCTTGTAACTTTCTAGCAGGATCTTCATTATACTGTTGCAAACTTGCAATCATAATTTATGTGATTAAATTGGATACATTTGCTTTGTATTCTAATCTCTACTCCCTTTCAGAATGTTCACTTGTCAATATAGAGTGGAGTGAAAGAAAGAAAAAAATCAAAATCAAAATCTATATTTCACTCCATTCCTCTTTAATTACACTCAAGGAAGCACGAACACTTGTAAAAAGAGGAAGAGTCGTGTCCGACACGCTCCGACATGGTGACGGACACGCGATCAACTTTTTCCGACACGTTGACCATTCCGACACGCGAATTTAACCGTGTCCGACACGGTCAAATGGCATTTTTGTAATTTTTTTTAATTTTTTTTTTTTAAAAAAAAATTAAAATATATTAATAAATCTTCCACACGATCATATCAATTTTATTTTTTTGTCTTTTTTCTCCTTAAGTAGATAAGAGATCATCTCAGCATCATTGTTGTCAATTTCTATCACGCTCTTGTTGTATCTCCTTCTCTTTGATCTCTCTAATATGATTTGATCTCTCTATCTGATATTATATCTCTTTCTCATCCCAGTTCTTATTTTTTTTATTAAAGCTTCCATCTTTATAACGTGAGTATTATTAATTTAGTTTCATTTTTTTGTTAAACTATTAAATATTAAATGAAATATACACTATATAAATTAAAAATATTATTTAATATTAAAACGTGTCTTTAACGTGTCGAAATTCATAATTTTTTAGGATTGACGTGTGGGAGTGTCGTGTCGTGTCATGTGTCGTATCGGTGTTACATAGATTACACTTTCATAAAATATGACAAAAAAATATATTTATTAATGATAAATATATTTTAAAATTCTCATGTGTAAATCATGTAATAAATGTAAGATAAGACTATATCTATTATAACCCTAGACAAATGGCTCTTATCCTACCCTAAACTCCGTATACACCGAGAGCTTTATTGCATTCTCAAAATCAAATCTCGGTAAAGCTCAAATGAGTATTTTCCTCTACAACAATGCAACAACCGCTGTAATAATCAAAAGTAATTCTACAACAACCCTATGATTTTTATTTTTTATTTTTTACTTTTGTTATGACAACCCTATGATTTCAACAATACAAAATAAGTTATTTTGTAAAAAGAAAATAAAAAAAGTAAGAGACTTCGGTGTATTGAACAGCTTCTTTTTTTCATTTCACTTTCTGTGTCTTCCTTTCAATCCATGCAGAAATCATACGTTTGAGCAATCTGGGGTTGAGGTATCTTCGTCCCAGTTTGTTGTTCGATAGAAAGCGGCATAGAGGAGGAGCTGCACCAATCCAGAAAGTGCTCCCAAGCCATTTGGAATCTAGCATTCAAAGATTTAATTGGAAATCATAATCACCACCTAAAATCATTCATTTTTCACATTACATTTATCACAATGTTATTTTTTTACCTTATTTTCATGACTTTCTACCGCACACCTTTTTTTTTAATTTTTTTTTCAAAAAATAAAAAGAAAAAAGAATTTATTTTTTTATTCTTTGCCTAATAAAGAGTAAAGTAAAATTTTCAAAATACTCAACACTATCTATTATCTTTCTTTCTTTTTTGAATAAATCACTTCCCGTCATGGTACAGCTAGTTCTCCCTTGAACACCATAACATGAATATTTCAGCTCGAACATGATTATCTCCCGACGAGAATGCACATGGTTCATCCAAAAAAAGAAGAAAGAAAAATCAATAGTGTTGAGTATTTTGAAAATTTTACTATTATATCTTGTATTTTTTTTTTTCAAACTAGAACCAAAATTAAGTAATAGGTAATAACAGATTACCACAACGAATGGATCCCATTTAAGGAGTGCATAAACCATCCAGACGAGTCCATTGGCGAAGTTAGCGAGTGAAAGTAAGAACGGCATGTACTTGACGCTCTTTGTTTTAATTACTTGACGCTGCTCTTTGTTTTTTCCATCAAAATAAAAAAGAAGACAGTTAATTAAAAAAAATAATAATAATAATTATATAAACTGAAAATAAAACCAAAGTAAAAAAAAAAAAAAAATCGGTACGAAACATATATTAAGAATGTACCATGACAGTTAAGGGTGAAAAGTACATAAGGACGTTGAAGACTATGCATATGAGTCCAACAATCAAGGTTCTTTGCTTGAGGGTGTGAACAGCGTACATGACTATAAATATCACCAACACAAGGAAGATGACTTCAGCTAGAAGTGCTATGAGGATCTTCTTCTGAAATTGGTTAAATTCGTTCAATCCAACCAGCAATTAAGACAAAATAATTACAGTATATTAAGTTAGTTAAAGAATAAAATAGGGTTCTAGTTTGAGGTGTTTCTCACACGCTTATTCCATGTTGAGAATGCGAAGAAGATTGAAGTGTAGAAGATCTCTAGGAAGAAGCCAAAGCCATTTATTGTGACGACAAGAGTGTTATGTTTACTTACAAAGGGCATTCCATAGAATGACCACATTGCACAATTGAGTATAGTCACAACATATGGATCTGGCTTGAAATCTTGCACTGATTTTGCCTTCCATATTTTCATAAATGTAGGCCTACAAATTAGAAATATTTGTCATTGTCAGCATTAATCCATCCATATATAAATATAAGAATGGGGAGAGAGAGAGAGAGAGATTTACACAGGAGACATGAATAAACAAAATGAGATTATATTTCCTGCAAATAAAATAGCAATGAATATATTAGAAACTCTTCGTCCACCAAAAACAAAAACAAAAAGGTTAGATGGTTATATAGTTTTGAGTTTGTATTAGTTAAATTAAATAGTTCCATGTCCTTTTTTTTTTTTCCCTTAATTCTATTAGTTTGAAATGATTACCTTGAAAATATTTAGAAAGAAGTCACATGATGTTAGAAATTGAACTACTTGTTATTTATTTGCTAATAAATAAAATAAAAAAAAATTCTGAAATGGAAGTAAAAAAAGAAAGATGGAAGAAAACGGGAAAAATGCATGAGATTTTCCTGCACCAACCAATTATTCCAATGGCGGTTCTTATTGCATCCGTGTTAACCATGGCTGCAACTTTCAAAGAAGAAACTAAAAAAAAAAGGGTGAAAACTGATTAAGAAGAAAGTAAATGAAAATGGTTAACTAAACAAAATTTTCATATTAATTTGTACTGAGGTATATGCTATATATAGTTATACCAACATTTAACTATTTTTGGGTTGTGAAGTGTTCTTACGGTAACGTACTTGGTTTAAAGTGCTGATTTGTGAACTTGCGTCTTAGCCACATGCAGGTACTGTTTGTACGGGACAGCACTAGTGTCTAATGTCTATAGCCACAAAACACTCAGCCCGACAATAACATAGAACATAAGTAACTCGTGCTTTTCCAGAATCACAAATTTTAGCAAAGCCCTTGATAGATAGCTTCTAACGTCTCCTTGACACGCGTCCCAAGCAAATGAGATAAGTTTTAAGAGTTTTTGACCTTTCTCTTCAGTGACTCCCCTCAACTCTCAACCTCCATTTCCAATACATTCGAGTGAGGTATCATATCATATCACCCACTAATAACTGTAGTATCTTCTAACACATTTTAGTCACAGACTCCCAGTTTTAAGATTATGCCAAACTTATTCACCTTATACCGATATTTGACGACATTCATAATTATAACGAGTTACAATCGAGTGTACAACATCAACCAATTGCACTACTTTCATTATGTCGAAAGAAAATTTGTTCTTATGGTTGTTTACTTGTCATTGTTGTTTTTTTTCCTCCAGGGTGAATACTTGTGATTGCTATTTTAGTACGTAGTAAAATGAGAATCTTTAAATTGGTTGAGTATAAATGTTCGATGAGCACACCACTGCAATAATTTTGTTTAGTGAATATACACCAGTGCAACAGTTTGCTTGGTTTCTTTCGAATTACCACTAATAAAGAACAAATTTTATCAATTTAACTTCTGCGAGATTAAATAACTCTCTTTAAGTGATCTTAAAGATGCATTCTCCATTTTCATATCTGTTCTACTTATTTAGAAGAATTAAAAAATCCAAACCCAAGACGTCGTTGTCAAGGTGCAATCACACCTTCTTTGGAGCTTGACCACCGAGCTAACCGCTTGTATTAACAAAAAGATTAATCTAACAGTTAATAAATAACCAAACAGACCATTGTATTAGCGTATCGGTTGCACCCTCTGACTTAAGTAGAAATGGAAGGAAGACAAAAAAAAAAAAAAAAAAAACGGAGAAAAAAAAAAAAAAACTCAAAGCTTCACCTTGTATGCAAGGATTTATTATGATTTATCAGAAATGCAGTTACTGCGGTAATTTTCCTTACTTTGCCCTTTCCCAGTTTAGCTTGAGGCGACTGAAAAAATGCATTTACCAATTAGACGCGGAACAAAAGCTTACCTATGCTTAGAGCAAGCAAGGAGGGAAGGGAAACACTTCCCCCTCCGCTTGTTTCTTTAAAAATCTTCCAAGCATAGGGTTAAATCACTTTTATCCTCCGTTCCCCTTCTTCCAACTCATTCAAACATAACAATAACGAAATCAAATTTGAGAATCTTAAAAGAGAAAGCAGACGCTTGATTAGAAGAACTCTATTTTTTTTTTTGGAATAAAGAAGAACTCTAAATATTGCTTCAGCTCCGATTAATTATAGAATGCAGCTTAAAGAACTTTCGTATCATACAAGAGGTATGAAAGTCTATTGGCAGTCACTGACCAAATAAATATACACTCATCTGAACATCATATATAAAATTCATACCTTAACATCGAATTAACACATATTCCTTTTGTTTGGTAGTCGCAATATGCTAATTTTGTTCTCGCTATTAGCATTATTTACCTTGCCACTGGCATTCATTCCTCTGGGATTCACAATTGCATACGTTCATATCACAAGCAAAAGACTTCCGTTTGGGTCTTTGGAACCACAGATTGACAAGAAAGAAGGATAAAATGCAACTAGGTGCACCTTTGAGACTTTGACCACAATTGTTTACAGAAAAAGAACACCCATCCAACTCCCAAACAATAATTTGAAGTGGTAAGAGAAATCTTAAAGCCAGATGCCACTTAGTGAAACAGAATTCAGTTCAAGTACAAACATCTAACAGATTCTACAAAGCTGTTCTTTAGGAAAGAGCAGAGCAGAAGAAAAATTATGTCCCAATGTTTAGGTCTCACATTCCATACTGACTAGACAAAGTTTTCATTTCTTTTGCAGGCAACAAAGATTCTGAGAAAAAACACCTGAAGCTCAAATACCTCAGTCACATACATGGTTTATTTCTTCTCAGCATTGTCCTCCAGCTCCCTCCTCAGCTGAAGAGAGAAATCATCGCTAACATCATCGTCATCCCAATCGTCTTCCCACTGTTGAGTCACCTCTTTCCCTTCCTCCTTGTCATCCCACTCTGCATGTTGCATACCAATAAGGACATAACAAAGTGCAAAAAAAAGGATGAACTGTCAGAATGTGAGAACATGGTCAGAATTACCCAAGTTCCAGTTTTTTCCAATCCCAAAAGCAAACCAAGTTGGATAAGCAGTCTCTAATACCAGAAGGATGTTGAAACACCAGCTTTAACAAAAAAAAATTTAAAAAAAGGCAAAGAAATTAGGGTGGCGGGGGAGGAGGAAATACTGGCATCAGAAATAACAAAACATGAAAAGAAGGGAAAAGTGATTGTCATTTCCAATGACAAAACAGTGTGTCCTTTTAAGTGAAATAGAGTGTTTCACTTATAAAAAACTCCCTATACCATTTTTTCCCTTTCCCTTGTCCCTTTTTCACACTTCACTTATTGGTTTTTCCTAAAACAAAAAAACCAAGTCCACCCTCACCGTCTCTCTGCCCAGTTGCCGCCGGCAAACCTCAACTGCACCTTGACCATTGTTAACGAGAAGACCGACAAAAAATTACCAGGTTCAAGCTATCCGGGTTCTCTGTGTTACTGGAGGGTTAGCCTTTCTTCTTCTGATATTCTTCTGTGCATTTACAGTGACCTTGCTTTCATCATCATCTTTCTACACTTGCTCATTGCTAATAGCAACTAGCTTCAACCTGGTATTTTCTGGGTTCATATTAAGTTTTTTAAAATTAAGTTTTGGGTTTAAATAAGGCGAGCCTGGAGCTGTGGTAAAGCTGCTCCTTTGTGACTGAAAGGTCACAAGTTTGAATCCAGAAAGTAGTCTCTTTGCAAATATGCAAAGGTAAGACTGCGTACAAGGATTGTCTTCCCCCCAATCCTCGCTAGTTGGTTTTTAAAAGGGAGTGATTTTTTGAAGTTTTGGGTTTAGGGTTTTCCCTCGTTCGTTGAAGTATGAGATTAATCATTAATCCCCAAGGAAATGGAATGGAGATTATTCTTCTCTAAAACAATTTCAGATGAAGATGAATTAAGATGGTTTGTTATGATGAAGATTTTGAACAAAGAAAGGTAAAGTTACTGATGGATGGCTTATGTATATTTATAACGTCAGAGGCCAAGCAAGCCAAATTGGGAGTAAATCGCTCGCTTGCGCATGTGTGTAATTTTTAACAGAGATGAAATAGTAAAGTTGGTTGATGCCATTGCTGATTGCTCTGTGTATCAGGCCCAACCTGGAGCTCTAATGCAATAAAGGTGAATGAGAGAAAAGAGAGAGAAAGAAAAGTAAGGAAAACAAGATAAAATATCGATTAGGTTTAAAAAGGGTAGTGGAGAGTGCAATCTTGTGAGGGTGAATTATCAGGGATAGGGTAAGGAAGCATTTTTTTAAGTGAAATCCAGTCGTTTCACTTAAAAGGACATAGTGATACATCATTTTAAACAACAAACACTTTTCCCTGAAAAGAAATACCAGATTTATGCCCTATAAGTGACAACACGATCAACAACTCAATACCAATCCATGAGTCATGACATGACACAGAGACATACATAACACAAGGCAAAGTAAATAGTTATTTAGATAAGCTAAGCTTGGAATGTGAACCATTAAGACAATATATAGTTTGAATGACGGTTATCTTCCATGAAAGCTAAACCTAAGTGTAAATCTCCAATTCTTCCTGAGAAAAATTTACACATTAATTTGGGAATGCAAAATTTTTAGCCTGACCGATGCTTGTAATTCTTAAGAACAAAGTTAGGCTTTTGCTTTCTCAACATCTAAAGTGAGCGTTGTCAAAAATTTCATGGATGAATTTGGGGGTTTATTATATAACTAATGAATGTTAAGCAAAGCATTTGAGATCGATTTTCTTGTGAACAAATTCGATTTCCCATAAAGTTAAATCGAAAGAACGGGCAATATATTGCAATAATGATTTCAGGGGTGAAAGTTTTAAAGAGTGAAATGATTTGGAGTTACCTTCATTGATTTCGAACTCTTCGAACTCGTCATCGTCTTCGAATAGATCAATCTTGACGTCCTCGGAGACCGGTTTTGGTTCGGTGGCCATTGGATAAACCGCAATCTCAAAAACCCTAAAATGGAATTGAAAAAGCTTAAGATGAGAAGTGATTAGAATGGAAAGAGCAAAACCCCAAATACAATTTACTTAGCGCAGTGAGTTCACACTCCGGACCGATCACTAATTACCTTAAACTTAAAAATAAAATAAAATAACTAATAGTAATAATATTAGAAAAATATTTTTATTTTTGGTGCAGAAATTTTTTTTATACCACATTCAGATAATTCACTAATATTTTTTTCTCTTTATAATATAATTCACTCACTTTTATAAGTCTGGAAAAAAAAAATTTGCAGTAAAAAAAAAATTATAAACCTTAATTATAATAAGGAAAAATTATTTTCTAAAACTATGTCATTTGGAGGGCGAAGAGAATTAATGAGGGGTATTTTAATAATTTTATTTGTTTCTTTATTATATAAATTTTATTAAAGAATCATTTATTAATTTTCTTAATCCTTAAAACTACATAATTTTAGTGTTGCATGAAATAACTTTATATCAAATAACATGAGAAGCAATAAACTTTAATAATAAAGTGATGGTTTATATTGGTATCAAAATTAATGACCAAGTGATTATAATGGTATCGAGTTTGAGTTTGATCACATTCTTCTCATAAATATTTAATTATGAAATTTTTTACCTTCATTTAAATTGAAACGAAATGACAATATCGCAATATTTGAAATGAGAACATAGAAAATTGTCTAAAAATAAAAAAGAATGACATCATATATGTAAATTGAGAAATAATAATTAGATGTACAATTAAAAAAGAATCATGTATCATATCTTAAAAAAAAAAATTGTGTGTCATTAGTAGGGGTGAAAGTGGGTTGGGACATTCTACAAGGACATACAGCCTAGCCAATTATATATAGTCAAATAAAACAAGTTCGAACTTTTTAAAAAGCCAATTTAGAAAATATGCCATAAGGACCAAATGTTGGTAGCTCAGTTGATATATGAGAGCTAAGCAGGTGGGGTGAGAGCATCTGTTCGAATCTCTCCAATACCACATTTGGGAGGGGTTTAAAGCCTTAATCCTAGATCCGCCCCAAATCGGATTAGTTGCGAAGCAATGAACTGATTGAAATATTTCCATAAAAAAAGAAAATAGGCCATAAGCTTTTTTTTACATGTCGGGTCTTTAAGCTTATAGGTCGGCCTGTATTATATTATTTATTTTAAATAAAATAATATTATTTATAGTAGTACCAAATGGTGATAGTTCACTTGGTGTATGTGAGCTGAGTAAGTGTATGTGAGCTGAGTAGGTGGTAGAAGGACCTAGGTTCGATCCCCCACCAATACTACCTTTGGAAATGACATAAGATTTGTATTAACCTCTACATTAGCATCAAAATCAACATTCAGTGCTGGAGGAAGAGTTATTGATGTTTATCGTTCTATCTTGGCTGAAGATATCATCCAAACTTTAATATATAGTGGAGATTAATTGATTATGTAATAAGTATGATTTGAGGAAAAAATATAAGGTATAAAAAGGTTTTTGTTTTTAATCTTTTTTTTTCTATTCTTTAATCTTGTTTTTTTTTTCTATATTTACAAATTATTTGCCAACTTATGTAACCTTGTAATTGTATTCGGAGGGAAAAGAAGATGATGAAAAGTTTTTGGCTACTACAAGCATCATGATGCATTTATTTGATTCATGCAGTTATTTTAATTTACATAGTATGGATTGATTTGTTGGATATGATGAAATATATGTTATTTAGTTTAAGCATCTTGCTTATGAAAGTGACTTAAATGCAGAATGTGATAAGTTGTTGTTGTTATTAAAGGTTTTGTTTGAACATTGAAATTGTGGTTTTTGTTTTAACAACAAAATTTGAGTATTTTGTGAAGTTGATTCATGTTCTGCTTGGAAGTTAAAAATTAACAGGCTAACGGGCCAAGCCATTTGTTTATAAATGGATCAGACCAGGCTAACAGTTAGACTCGTAATATGCTATCGGATCAGGTCAAATTGAAATTTTTTGTCATAAGCATAGGCTTTTGGGATAAAGCTCGGCCCAACCCAGCTGACTTTCACCCCTAGTCATTAGTATTGGCAAATAAAAAGGAAAGAATAAAAATAATAAATGTTATACTTTTTTTTTGCAATATTAGTTGCATATAATTTATAAATTATATAATTCATACAAGGGATCTTAAATCATTGATAAGAAAAAAAAACGGTATATAAAAAGTTATAGTTATGTTAGTCATGTAAGAATTTTTAAGTTTAAATATAATACTCCCTCCCAGTAATTCTCAAAGAGGTTTGGGGGTTTACCCTGATCACATGGGAAACTGATGTCTAACCTCACATAAACTTTTATGTACTAAAAAAATCATTTTATGATGTTAACGATGGGATAATGAATAAGAGGTCGTTTGTTTAAGCTTTTAGAAAAGGTAACTTTTATCACTTTCTTATTTTAAAAGTACATTTTACAAAAGTTAAAGTTTTTTATATTTTTATAAAAATATTTAGATTTTAAAAAAAATATTTGACTTTTGACTTCTGCTTTTTGGAGAAGTTAAAATTTTTAACTTCTGAAAAAAGTAGATTTTTGGCTTTTTTTATGACTTCTTCTTTTTTTAAAAGCAGACATCTAAACGAACAAAAACAAAAAACAAAAAGTGCTTTTTTGCTTGAAAAAAAAGTTCATCCAAACGGGCTCTAAGTGTTATTGTAAAGAACTAAATCAATCCAAAACTTAAACTATTGTGTGAGATTACATTAATGACTTTATATATTTCTAACACGCCCTTCACATGAGAGACCATTGAGCTTGAAAGATGGATGATGCATCAGACCCAGTCTATATGGGCTAAGAAACTCCGCAAGACTTAATTAATTATTAATTAAATAAGATGCTATTATGTCATAATGTAGTTTTTGAGTTGAATTGATTTTTTATAATTAGAATCAGGGAAAAATTGATATTATGCGAGAATGAACGAAACAAGTGACATAATAGCAAAGAAGAATCGAGAATCTATGCCAAAGGAGACTGATCTCCTTCATCGTAGCACTGAGAAAGCAAATGGTTTAGAGCTGGAAAATCAAACTATGGATGATTCCATGGTTTATAGGAGATAGGAAGAATTCGAGAAAGAAGAAACACGACCATTAGAAAAAAAGAGGAAATTGATGAGGTGGACAGAATGGAGCAGCAACACAAAGAAGAGGAAGAATATTTGGGGGGGAGAAAGACAACATGGAGAGGAGGAAGACCCTTTTTGTCCATCTTATCATTTTACTATATTGGTGCACAAGGACAGCTGTAAACCTTGGAATTAGACAATCATTGTCAAGTTGTTGAGGAAAATATTAGGTATGAAATTCATATTGAATCACTAACTAAAGATGAGGAACTTATTAGGGAACTATGTGCACATTGACTTGGAAAATGACTATTATTTGTTTCTTTTTATGGATTCAAAAGACTACCTCTTTGTTCTCTAGGAAGAACCGTAGTTTATGAGGATCATTATGTTGCTGTCCACGATAGATGTTTGATCCATTTGATGATAACATTCAGAATTGGTAGTTTGGATTTATTTTGTCTAGGTGACAGAAGTGTCTAGCCAAGGACTAGTAGATCGATATTGGATCGAGTACTCTCTAAAGTATCTATGAATAAGTTAACTTGAGATAACATATCAATTGTACATAACTGATAACGGCGTAAGCCAATGGGGTAGTGTGTGTGCTCAGTGACACTATAATAGTAAGAGAGATATTATGTCATACTTGTAGGTTTTGTCCCTTATTTATAGAGTTTACCTGTTGGTATAAGAATTATAGGCCTTTAATCATCTTTGGGCCCGATTTCCATTGTATTACTGTAACGTAGTTGCCTTTTTTTAAAGCTTCAGATATATGGGCCTTATATATGTTCATAATAGTTGCCCCCAACCTGGTAGTCTGAATGTTCGGACTGCCATTGTGTAATATCTATTGTTTTTATGTTAATAAACTTATCTTTTTCCAAAAAAAATTCTTTGAGTTGGAGCTCTTCTTGGCTGACTTAGTTGAGTCATCCATTGTAGTTATTGTCTCTGATTGTGTTCAGGATCAACTGGGCTTCATGATCCGAGTATTAAGTATGTTGTTTCAGTATCTCCCCTTTTTAGCCGAGGTACTAGCTTATGCTGATTCATGTTGTCCCTCAGCCCGATAGTTTGGGTACTCGAGGTATTAGGGTGCATCATGTTTAAGTTCATCTTTAGCTTTGGGCTTATATAGCCAAGATAGTGCTGCTCCCCATCTCGATAACTCGAGATGTTGGGGCGTACCTTTAAATCACCTTCAACTTCAAGCCTGGCCGAGTTGAACAAATTATCTTGAGCGTATCACGGTGGCAATTGATGATACATTTTTGTGTATCTCAGATCATTAGATTAAACTTGCTTTTGTCGTTTTTATCTCTTCCAGGCAAAGATAACACATTTCCAGGTGGTGTTTTCTAATTGGTATGATATGCATCATAAGTTGTCGATCGTTACCACTTTATATGTGCATTTAGTGCAAGCTGTCAGAACGTATTTCAACTGTCCTGTCTTATTTATGCTATTACAATTTTGCCTCTTCCTTTTCATTTTGCGAGTCCAACCTTTTGATTTCATTTTCTTCTTTCTTTACATTCCCTCGCATTCTCATTTTTTCACTTTCTGATATTGTTCCTCTCTTTCGTCTTCCCAGTTGGCTTTTTATCTTTCATCTTCTTCAAGCGCTTCTCCTTTCATCATTTTCAAGCTGGTATTTCTTGTCTCTTTAAATGTTGGCTTTATTTCTTATGATTTATTCTGTGTTCATAATTTCACTTGCCATTATTTACACGTCCTAGTGTATTTCTGAACTTCGATTTCCGGCTACAAGTATGCATTGTTTCTGTATTTTATTTTCTGGGTATGAGGGGTTTTGAACCTTCATTGCAAGATTCTGATTGTATCTCATTCTTGCTCCTCCTTTAAAACCCATTTTTAGTATGAGTGACGGAAGTTCAAGAGGCAAGGGTAAAGCAACTTGCCCTCGTGGTTTTGGTCAAAGTGATGAGATTGATGAGGAAGAAGAGAAGTTTATACAGGGTGGTAGGGGGATAAAAAATGTCTATGAAATTGGTTAATAGGTCTTGAATAGCTTGGTCAGGAGGAGTAGCTAGCGGTGGTATGAGTTCGGTTGGGTTGGATTGGAAGTTATTAGGAAAACTCAGAAAAGAACTCAGAAAACTCAGAGAAGGAAATCTGTACTATATTTACTTACTTGAAAAAGAGAGTACAAAAGGCAATATATAGAAAAACTACCTAAGAGAGAGAAAAATGGCCTAACAGAATGGCCTTTCAAAATGGCTAACAGAATAGCCTTACTAAATGGCCTAACAATATCAGAAGCGCAAAAAATGACAGCTCAGCTTCTAGAAGCAATTACAACGGAAAGAAAAATAATAAAAATAAGAAATATAAAATGCTAATAGGCCCCCTCAAGATGGAGAATAAAGATTCAGAATTCCCATCTTGGATATCAGAGTTGAAAACTTGGAAGGAAGCAGAGCCTTGGTGAGAATATCCGCAAGTTGCTTTGATGAAGGTACAGGGAATGTTTTCAGATTACCTTTGATGATATGTTCGCGAACCAGATGACAATCTATCTCGATATGTTTTGTTCGCTCATGAAAAACAGGATTAGCAGCAAGATGAAGAGCAGATTGATTGTCACAGAATAAATGAGCAGGACCAGAATGTAGAACCTTGAAATCCTTCAAAAGAGAAAACAGCCAGAGTAGTTCGCATGTGACAAGTGCCATAGACCTATATTCGGCTTCTGTGGAGGATCTGGAAACAGTGTGTTGTTTCTTGGATTTCCAAGAAATAATTGAATCCCCAATGAAGACACAAAAACCAGAAACAGACCGACGACTATCAATACAAGAGGCCCAATCAGAGTCGCAAAAAGCATTAAGTTGAACAGCAGAAGAAGAGGAGTAAAAAATGCCCTGACCAATGGTGTGCTTGATATAGCCAAGCAATTTGTGGGCTGTCTGAAGATGAGGAAGGCGTGGGGCAGCCATGAATTGACTGAGAAAATTAACAGTGTAGCAGATGTCAGGTCTTGTGATTGTTAAGTAAATCAAACGTCCAATTAAGCGGCGGTACATGGAAGGGTCAGAGAGGAGATCTCCCTCAGAGGCAGAGAGCTTAAGACCAACTTCAAGGGGGGTGCTGCGAGGTTTGCAACCAGAAAGTCCAGAATCCTTAAGAATATCCAAGGCATAATGATGTTGACATATAGAGATACCTTTGGCAGAACGGGCTACCTCAAGCCCAAGAAAATAACGTAAGGGACCAAGATTCTTGAGCTTAAAGGTGCTGTGAAGATTATCAATAAGAAGTTGTACTTCAAGAGAATTGTTAGATGCAACAATTATATCATCCAAATAGACTAAAACAGCAATGAAGCATGAAGCAGAAGAACGCACAAATAAGGAATGGTCAGATTGTGACTGATTAAAACCAAGTAAAATCAATGTATTGGAAAACTTTGCAAACCATTGTCGTGATGCTTGTCTAAGGCCATACAAGGACTTATGGAGGTGACAAACAGCATTAGGTGGAAGAGAAGATTGAGTAGAAGAATAGCCAGGGGGCAAATGCATATAAACCTCTTCCAACAACTCACCGTGAAGGAAGGCATTGTTGACGTCAAGCTGGATGAGAGACCAATTATTAATGGCAGCAAGGGCAAGGAGAAGCCGTACAGTTGTAAGTTTCGCAACAGGGGAGAAAGTTTCTGAGAAATCAACACCTTCTTGTTGAGTAAACCCCTTGGCCACTAGACGAGCCTTGTACCTCTCAAGGGAACCATCTGACTTATATTTTACCTTGTAGACCCAACGACAACCCACAATCTGTTTTCCAGGTGGAAGAGAAACAACTGTCCATGTTTTATTGAGCTCAAGGGCTGAAAGTTCATCTTGCATTGCAGCTTGCCATTCCGGAAGTTGAGAAGCAGCAGAAAAGGAGGTGGGTTCAAAATGTGAAGAAACAGAATTAATAAAAGTTGCATATGTAGGAGAAAAACGATGAGTGGAAATATAATTAGACAGGGGATGGATGGTGGAAGAAGAACAAACATAATCACTAAGATATGAGGGTGGGTTTCTAGGCCGTGAAGTGTGAGATGGAGAGGATTGGTCAAAAATAGGAGACTGTGAAGGAGGAGCAGTAGGCAATGAAGTAGGCAAAACAGTAAATTCTGTGTGTGGAGAGGGAATGGGAGACTTCATGGAAAAAGGAAAGATGCTCTCAAAAAACACAACATCACGAGAAATAAAAGTACGGTTGGACTCCAAATCAAGAAGCTTATAACCTTTGAAGCCAGGTGGGTACCCAATAAAAACAGCCGGCAGGGCGCGGGGGGAGAATTTGTGACGATTTCTGGATAGGGTGGAGCTGTAACAAAGGCAGCCAAAAATGCGAAGATGGGAATATGTGGGAGGTTTATGGCAAAGGAGTTCAAAGGGTGTTTTGGCTGAAAGAAGGGGTGAGGGGGTGCGGTTAATTAGATAGACAGCAGTAAGGATGCAATCTTGCCAATAAGGTAGTGGTATATGGGACTGAAATTGAAGGGAGCGTGCCACATTAAGGATATGCTGGTGCTTGCGTTCTACAACTGAATTCTGTTGAGGACGATCGACACAAGAATGGAAAAGTTTAATACCTTTAGAGGAGAAAAAAGATGTTAAGAGAAACTCAGGGGCATTATCACAGTGGATGGATTTAATAGGCAAAGAATATTGTGTGTAAACAAGTTTATAAAACATGGGAAAAACAGAAGAGAAATCAGATTTGTTTTTCAAAAAATAAGTCCATGTAAAACGTGTGGCATCATCCACAATAGTTAAAAAATAACGAGATCCTTCTACAGAAATTGTATGAAAGGGACCCCATATGTCACAGTGAACCAAATCAAAAGGAGATGCAGATAACTTGGGATTTAAAATAAAAGGAAGACGTTTTTGTTTTGCAAGAGGACATACAGAACAATGATGATCAGTACGCAAAATATCAGAAAAACCCAGCAAAGATTTCATTGAATTTAAAACGGAAACAGAGAGGTGCCCTAATCTGGAATGCCAGAGGGAAGGGTCTTTTACAGTAAAAGAAAAACAAAAGGAATGGGGAACATTATCTGCTGGGAAAAGGTGTGTGGTGTCAAGTATGTAAAGATCGCCGTGTCTTCTAGCAATCCCAATCGTCCTTGCCGAAGCACGGTCCTGAAGAGAACAATGAGAGTCAGAGAAATGAGCAAGAATAGGGGAATCACGTGTTAAAGCACTTATGGATAAAAGATTGAAGAAAAACGAAGGAACACAAAGGACATTGTGTAGGGTAAAAAGACCACAAATGGACACTGAACCAACATCAGTGACCACTGCAGAAGACCCATTGGGAAAAGACACCAAAGAATCAGATGAGGAAGATGAGGAAAAGAGAGTAGCAGAAAGACAAACGTGGTGCGTGGCACCCGTGTCCAAAATCCAACAAGACGGAGGGAGAGCAAGAGGTGGCTTACCACTGAAACTTGCTATCGATGGTGAGGAATCAGTAACAGACGAAGTGGAGAACGAAGATGACGGTGCAGAATTTTGATGTAGCAACGCAAGCAGCTGATTATATTGGGTTGGGGTAAAAGCAAGTGGCACATCAGAGGAGTGGGTAGCTGTCGGTGAGGTAAGGTGAGGTGAGGAAGCTGGCGATGGTAAAGGGAGAAGTGGGGGTGAGGGCCGAGAGTGGGCAAAATGGGCTTGGGCCTGGTGAGGAGTCGGGTTGGGCCTAGGAGATCTGGGTTTATACCCAGGAGGGTAGCCATGTAATTTAAAACATTTGTCACGTGTGTGACCAGAAAGGTTGCAAAAAGTGCAAACAGATCTAGGGCGACGTTGAAAAGTAGTAGCGGCCGTGGGTGGGTTGTGAGAAGGAGGGGCAGCGGAGTTGATAAGGGGTGAGTCAGGAACAACCGGAATAGGCAAGGAAATAGAGAGCTGACGTTGGCGTTCTTCTTGCAAGATCATGGAGAAGACTTTCGCAAGTGACGGCAGTGGTTCAAGGAGGAGAATCTGAGCCCGGACAGAAGAAAATGAGTCATTAAGGCCAATGAGAAATTGCAAGACGTGGTCCTGCTCCCTGCCTGTGCGAATCGCATGAAGAGCACCACATGTGCAAGAGGGAAGAGGCAGGTGATCCTGTAACTCATCCCACAAGGATTTCAACCTTGTATAATAGGCATTAACATCAAGGGAGCCCTGAGAAAAAGATGAAACGTGTTGCTTGAGTTGAAAAATACGTGGACCATTTGCCTGGGAAAAACGGGTCTGTAAATCATTCCAAACCTCATATCCAGTAGTAAAATAAAGGAGGCTATCAGCAATCTCCTTAGTAACAGAATTCAAAATCCAGGATATGACCATGGAATTGCAACGAGTCCAGGAAGGAAACAACAGATCATTGGGAGAAGGGCGAAGAATAGAACCATCAACAAACACAAGTTTGTTCTTCGCGGTAAGGGCAAGAAGCATAGCACGCTTCCAGGAACTAAAATTGGAACCAGTAAGAGAATGGGATACCAATACCAGGCCAGGGTGATCACCATTGTGCAAAAAATGAGGACTGGAAGAATCTTCCATGAAAGAAGATGAACCAGAGGAAGAATCCGCTGGTGGTGGGCGAGGATTATTGGCACCACGAGCCATTGAAGGAGACTCGGGTTCAGGAAAAGAATTCTACTGATACCATATTAGGAAAACTCAGAAAAGAACTCAGAAAACTCAGAGAAGGAAATCTGTACTATATTTACTTACTTGAAAAAGAGAGTACAAAAGGCAATATATAGAAAAACTACCTAAGAGAGAGAAAAATGGCCTAACAGAATGGCCTTACAAAATGGCTAACAGAATAGCCTTACCAAATGGCCTAACAATATCAAAAGCGCAAAAAATGACAGCTCAGCTTCTAGAAGCAATTACAACGGAAAGAAAAATAATAAAAATAAGAAATATAAAATGCTAATAGAAGTGAAGTACATTAAACAAGCATCCACTGAGTTCTATGAAACCAACTTTTGCAATTAGGCTGAGGAAATAGGATTGGTCTAAATCGGTCGGTCACCTTGCAAAGTGACCCGAGTATTCTTGTACTTAAAAAGTCATTGTTAGAGTCTGGTAATCAGTGATAATAGGTCCCAGTATTGCATCCCAAGAACAAGGTCAAAATGCTTTAGCTCCAGCACAAATAAATCCACTATTTTAATAATGTGGCAATGCTTAATTGAGTAGTAGTGTACAAAGCTTTAAATCAATGGGGGTATCAAAACCACACTCTAAACCTATTTCTATCTGTTTCTTAGTTTTCTTTTGTTTATTAAGTATTCTTTTCAGAGGTACGTGTTGTTTAGCAAGTGTGAAAACTGAAACATCCGATTGATGTTCCTTTTTCATTTTTTTAACATTCTACACGTGTTCCGTGACCAAGAAATGATTCCACGTTTCTGAATATCTCCACCGAGCAAGCAAATAATGTTTCGCAAATTGCAAAAAGGAAAGAAAGAAAGGAAACCAAAAACATGATTTCTTCATCTAATTTCACGCCACTTTAAGTAATAAATAGATAAAGGTAAACAAAAGTTTACAGTGTAAGCTAAAGCTCACTTATTGAAATTAGCTCGCCGGGGATAAAAAAACATGGAGCTAATTTCACAAATATCAAATGTGGCTAGAACTAATGCTAATGTTACAGTATTTACACAAAGAAAAAAAGTATATGTATTCACAGGGGCAAAAAAAAGAAAAAAACAGAGATTGAAGGGATTCTAACTCATTCACCAAACGTGAAGGGATCGTTCCTGTGGAATTGAGGAACCCTTCAATCCAGAAATTGTTGTTTCATTGAAATCTTGTAGAACTTTGATGAGAAAACGTGCTTTTTTGGCGGCATGAGAAGTACCATCGGTAAGAAGTGAATAAAGCGAAGGCATCAGCGAGGGGTCCTTGGCAAGAACAGCTACTACCTCAACACCAACATTGACGCAAAGTGACAACAAGATTGAAGCAGAGTGTTCTTTCCCTGCACGCGACGTGGCAGATCGCAACATCCCAATGATTAACGACAACGCGGAGGCTTGTAAGATAGCATGTGCTCCATCCACAACATTCTCAGCCAAGGCTGCAAGAACAGCTAAACATTCAGCGATGAGTTCATTGTTGTTCGAGGAGGAAGCCAAAATATCAACGAGCGCAGGAACAGCACCTGCCTCAAGCACCCTTCGATGATTCCTAGGAAGCAAAAGCAAACCAAAAATTGCAACCACAGCATTCTTTTTCCCACATGTTGTTCCTTCCTTGACCAACTCTACTAAACCCGGAATCGCCACTGGGTTTTCTCCGATTAATTTCCTGTATTCTTTCACCGAAGAAAGATAAAAAATTGTAGCAGCTGCGATTTGGCGAGCTTCAAGGCTAAGCCCTTTTTTGAGCACCAAAAGAATGGGTTCTAAACCACCGCTATCCATGATGCTTTGAGAGCCACTGGCATGCTTGGAGAGCTTCAACAGAGAAGAGATTGCATTCTCTTGCGTGGATTTATCATTTGTGGTCAAAAGACCAAGCAGAGGAGGCACCGTGCCAACTTCAACCAAGCACGTGCGGTTGAAAATGCTGGACCTTGCAAGCACGCGAATCTCATAAGCAGCCTTGTTTTTCTGTTCTTGGGTTCCGAACACAAGCCTCCGCGTGAGAAACCACGAGAGGAATTGCATGGCATGTGCTGCCGCTGAACTACCTGGAACGATTGTTCTCGTTATGTCACGGTTACGGTTACATGACTTGGCGAGGGAAATGTCGTTGTCAGCGCAGAACTGTTGGATGAGCCTCTTTAGCGTTGTGTTTGGGACCAACTCTGTGTTTTTTAGCTTCTCACCTGTTTTGGGACATATCATGTTTCCAGCTTTAAGCCATTTCTGAATGGAGGCTCGGTCATAGGTTTGACCCGTTGAAACGGTCACCGGTTCAGTCATCAACTCAAGGGAAATCGGGCAACGGAAATCCTCTGGGTTCACGTAGGTTATCATCATCTCTGTGCTGAACCTGGCTTCGGATTGGTTATCTAGAGTTTCGAATATCACTGCCCTACAATAGCATAAGAACCCAACCAAGCTACTCAAGAGTGGAACCTCTCGCTCGTCACAATCACAACACCTGAAGCTGATCTCGTCTTCTAAGAATTTAATCTCTTTGTTACAATCCTTCCAGGTTTTGATTTCGAGGTAGTTCATGATTCCCTGCATGGAACTCACGTCCGGTTCGGTTCCCCTCTCGAATTGGCGCAGAATAGAATGAACTCTTTTGCTTGCGATTTCGTCTTTGGGGTCGATTTCGAACTTGGCTTTCCTCGCTTGCTTGGCTACTAACTCAACTAACTCCTTCACTTCGCTACAAACCTCGAAACTTTGCAGAGGCAAAACGTCAAGGGCGGTGGCCATGGCGCGAATAAGAGAGCGGAACTGAGTTGCAACGTATTGGGATTTGGTGAGCATGAATAAGCGAGCACCTTCGAGAGTACAATCTTGTATCAAGAAGTGAATCTTTTGGAAGGTGAAGTGGAGCTCTGAGAAACAGAGGAGAATGGAGTCAGGGATAACCAAGCCACGTTCTCGAATTTCGTGGAGGAATATAAGAAGAACGCCAATTTGGCGCATTGTTTCTCTTGCATTTCGTCGTTGGGTGGTGAACGATTCGTGTTGGAAATTGCATATATTCTGCGAGAGAGTGATGAGAGAAGCAAGAAGGGTAACGGAAGATATACCTTCGCAAGGATGAACCGCCGGAAATGTTAGAATCCGGCGATCTCTGTAATTGGGAATATGAGTCATTGAAGTAAAAGATAACGCACACCAATTCTATTTTTTTTGTTTTTCTCTCGAGCGTTTGGAGTTGGAAAAGGTAGTTAATTAGGCCAATTATTATAGGAAGAGACATATGTGTCGTGCTGACTAGAGAATCTTATAGAGACGTGGCAGCATATTTGAAACCTGGATCGGTTGTGATTTGACTAAGATTAAGGAGAGAAGATTCAATGGACACGTGGGAATGTATGGTTGCTAATTTTATTTTTTATTTTTTTTAACTTTAAAATTTTATAATATGGTGGATGGTTACCTGGGAGAGTGAGAATGAGAACTAATTGGCAAGGGGATTTAGATTTTGGTTGGCATCGTAGGGTCAGAGTGTGCTTGAAGTGATGGATGGTGGGTCCCTATAACCGACCTCACAGGTGGATAAATCAAATGCCGCCGTGTGCTTCGGGGAACTTTGAACGTAACTGTTTGCGAAGCTGCTTGCTTACCTGAATTATTGAAATCGCATCAGAAAGTTTAATTACGTGTGCTTACGCCACGGGATCAAGGTTTACCGTAATTAATATTTAATCCCATAAACCTTGCTCTCTTATATTTTTAAAATATATACATTAGTTCAAACGTTATGTTTAAAAACTTCAAATTATACGCAGTGAAACATATAATAGATAAGCTAGGATATTCTGACTACTTATTTTTTCTACTACCACTTCACTATCACTCTAATCACCATTTGATTAAAGGAAAAGTTGAATGAAGAGAGAGAAAAAAAAAAAAATTTGAATCCAATGGTGATTAAAGTGGTAGTGGAATGGTAGTAGAAAAAATAGGTAGTAGGAATATCCTACTTCATAATAGATTAACATAACAGGGACTCGATTGGTTTGGACAGTGGCCGAATTACGTGTTTCAAAATTTATAAACTCGCCTATATACAAGTTATCTGCATTTACTGAAAAATTAAAAATTATAATTATAAAGACTATAATAACTCTGAAATAAATTAAAATTACAAAAACACCATAATTTTTGCCTAAAATAACGTTATATTGGACTTACTGCAGATAAAAACGAACCTTTTTAAAATACCCTTATAAAGTATCAACTTTAACCTTTTATAAAATTTTACTCTTTCCCAGCAAAATGTTCGTTCTAGTCCAGCCTCTAGGTTTGAGTGACTATACATGTAAATAAACGCAATATGAGGTTAAAGCAAACATGGAAAAGGTAAAAACGATTACAGGCACTAGATGCAAAAAAAGAAGAAAATTGAGGATTAATTTGTTTGAAGGTTTATGTATGTACCAATTATATATAGAGGTTTTTTCTACTTTTCTTCAAATATGATGCTGATATTCACATGGTCAAACATGAACGAAAATGGGTCCTTGTCACTTGCATCGAGAGATCTGATTATCCATTACAAAGTTCGTATTTTCCCACCCTAATCTTATTTGTGGTCACAAATCCATGCAATGACTTCTTGAATTATTTGCTAAAGAAATTATGATATTGACGAAAAAGCATAAGGCTTGACGTGGACCAATCAAAACATGCCCAATCTAACGCGTTTTCTTCCTAGATCACAATTGATTAACGGAGAAAATAATAAGATATAATTACTATATGACAAGGGAAAATGTTGCTCCTCGCAAATCTAAATTAAAATAAAGAAAGAAAGCAGAAGGCATCGTCTATTTGGTTGAGACGTTTGCACCAAAAAAATGACAACGAATTCAACAAAGATAAAATAATTTATTTTCTTTTTGATAGATCTTGCAAACCAATTTAATATTTTGATTCGACAGATGCAAGCTGGGAGCTGCCATTTTGAAAGGTAATAACTAAATAGTCATACCAAATAAGGTCCACACTGAACAGACAGGTTAAGCAGGTGCAAATCCAAAGTAGCTTCTCTTAAATTCTTAAGGACGAACTACATTATTATTTTGAGAATTTTTAAGAATATATTTTTTATATTTGAAAAATATTTTAATTAAATAAATTTTATGTAAGTCTCATTAAACAATCTGAACTCACTTTTTATTTAATGAGATTTACTCAAATAAAAAACACGCGATAGCAAAGAATATACAAGAGAATATGTCAAAAAAAAAATATTACTAATATTTATTTATGATAAGCAATATTTAGGAGTGGGTTAATAATAAAATATTTGAATAGTTTGCGTAAAATTATAAGTTGGAATTTTAGTATTATCATTATATAAAAAGAAATATTTTATTATATTTATGCGAAAAAAAAACGAATTTTTTTCAATTATATGCAGTTTGATTAGAAATCTTTTTTGGCTTCTTTCAAATTAATTGCACCGCTCACTGGGAGATCTATCGTAACGAGTACATTGCATTCACGCTTGGAAGTTCGAAAATCACTAACGCATAATAAACAGTGTCGTCATTGTCATGACATGTACGATCTGCGCGTTGATAATTATTATTATCAAACATTAATTCCTCCACGCTTAGCTTCTTGGATTGCCACCATAACACGAAATTGTGTTATAAATAAGATAAAACTACTAATATATTACTAGAATTCACACTCATCACTTTGCAAAGCTTTTAAATTTAAAGATTGGCTAAGATTTGTTGGCGTTCAGGGATTATGTACACCTAAACAATCTTTAGATGAGCCTTGCTTATCTTTTGAGGTCTCATGCATGTCATTAGCATTTTAACAAGTAATATATATTTTCTCGAATTGAAATATTAGTTGCTTAAGATTTTTATACAACTATTAATAAATTTATTAAACACTATTAATTTTAGAGAAATATAATTAAATTTGATTAAATTATCATCTCACTTTATTAATAGTTTTCTTTCATACTAAGAAATAAGAAAAAATTAAAAAAAAAATACTTTATTGATTTTATAAAGTGATTACTAAAATAAAACACTTTTTCTGAATGATTAAAATGTCAAAATAGATGAAGTATTGATTATAGGAAAAAAATCTATCTCTTTAAAGGATATAAGCTTATATTCTTTTAGATCTTAACCGTTGATTTCCCTCCATCAACGGTTATAATTTATTGAGTCAAACTTAATGAGTCAAATTTATTATTAATTAATTAATAATTTTGATCCAATAAATTATAATCGTCGATAGACGAAAATTAACGGTTAAGATCTAAAATAATATAAACTTATATCCTTTAAAATGACATATGTTATTCCCTTGATTATAATAAGTATCTCTATGCTATTCTCTATTTTTTTTAAAAGACAAATTGGCATTAGTGCTTTGGTCCAACTACAGTGAAGCATTGTATAACATATTAATCCGATAAAGTGATTCTTTCTTTTCACATACATGGTCGATCATTGTTGCTTCTTTCGGTACTTCCTCTTATTTTATTGGTTTTGATAATTTTCTTGATCTCTCGAGAAGGAGTGAGAGTGAGACCTTCCTCCAGAGCAATTGGTAGGGGTTTTTATAATCTTACGTCGTACTAGGAAGGGACGGAGGGTCCCAGTTTCGTTGTACCACAAACACAACGGGCCTTGTGTCCTTGTGAATTGTTATGAGAAACTGGTCGGTGCCTCCATGCAGATATTTTGGTTCAATAATTACTCATGACTCAATGTTCAAGGCTGTGAAATACCAAATAATAATAATAATAAATCAAGGCAGTGTAGTCATGTTTAATTTCAACTTTGAAAAAAATATTTTTTATTTTTTTCAAAAGTTACTGTTGTTTTCGTATGTGGGCAGCTAAACGTGTGGGTAATTTTAAAATTTTATGTCTAGACCCATGATTTACTTGATCCTCTTGGATCTGGGTTAATATCTGATAAGGGTTTTTTTAGCCATTTCTTGTACTAATTTCCTATTATGATTTTGCCTCTTTAATTGGCTTAACTCATACTCTTCTGGATCAATTATTATGATTCACTCATTTTGTTACTCTCTCGAAGATTCTAGGCTTAGTTTTTTTTTTTTCTTTCCAATTCTCCATGTGTAACTGGTGTGATGGAGAGGATAAAATTAATTAGGTTTCTTTTCAATTTTTCCTCAGATCTGAGTGTGTTGAAGAGAGAGCGAGGTTTCTAGTCTGAGTAGGTGTATTTTGGTTGCTCTAACCCTTTTCTAGTGTAGAATTGTTGCTATTGTCATTCTTGATAGATTCCTGATCGAAGGCAAACAAGGAGAGGTGTTGGTTCACAATCCAGTGAAAATCCCTCAAGTTCCTACAAGCTTGATAAGGATCTGGAGTTGGTGGTGGCTATTCGAAGGGTTCAAGCCGAGTTGTTGGGTTTACATAACATCTTAGTCAAGTTTTCTTTATCTTTTTTACCTAGGGTTAATGCATGTAATGTTTGGTTGTGGTTGCTTGTTTTCAGACTTGTGCTTGTGATTATGTAAAGCTAAAACCAAATCTAATAAATTGCAAGAACATGAGAGTTTTCCCTTTGGCTCTTGATGTAGGAATCTTGATAGCAATATCAAGTTCCGAACCAAGTAAAACCCTTGGTGTTCTATTTTCTTATTTTTCTGTTGGATGTTTCCGCTCATTTCAACCTCTGTATTTGAGGTCCTTGGTCTCAAATATGCAAGTGGTACCAAGAGCATGGGTTCTTGGTCCCGTTCTCTCTTCCTTGCTCTGTTTTTTCTTCCTTTCTTTGTACCCTTCTTCTTATTTCGATTCATGTTGCGACTTGTGTTCTCTACAATTATCTTGTTCAAGATGGGAGGAACCCGTATCGAGGTGGACAAATTCGATGTTAAAGTGTACTACAACATGTGGAAGATCACGACGAAAGTTGTCCTGATCAACCATAATGTGTCAAAGCCATTGGGGAAGATAAGGATTATCCAGCATTACTTACGACCGAAGAAAAAGCTAATATGAATTAGCTTGTTCGTAGTCTGATAATGCTTCATCTAAATGACAATGTTTTGAGACAAGTCACTGAGATAACAAACCCTCACCAACTCTAGTCTAAGTTAGAGTCTCTGTACTTAGTCAAATTCTTGCCAAATAAGATGTACCTTAAAGAAAGGTTTATAAATTTCAAAAAGGATATTAGCAAGACCCTTGATGAGAATCTTAATGAATTTAAGAAACTCACCTTGATTTTTGCTAATGTGGATGCTAGGATGATGATGAGGACCAAATTGTAGTCCTCTTCAACTCCCCGAGTCTTTTAAGGATGTTAAGTTTGTCATCAAGTATGACAGACCAAATATGACATTGGAAGAGGTAATAGAAGCCCTTAAAGTAAAAGAGTTGGATATATCTGCCCATAGAAAATTTTCTAGGGAAGAGATGGTTATTAAAGACAAGGAAATTAAAAAGGACATTTTAACAATAAAAATAAGAGCTATAATTCAAGGAATAGCAATAACAACCTAAACAAAAATAGTAATAATAGTAGTTTTAACAATAATAAGAGTACAGGCAACAAGCGACCAAGTTTATTTGTTGTCTGTGCCATAAAGAAGGGCTTGTCAAGAAGAATTTCCACAAGAAAGGTGACTCTAAAAACCAAAAAGCTAAAATTGAATGCACGAATGTGCATTCAGGTTGTGAGAGTGGGATATGCTTATGGTGTCATCTGATGTTGCTATTGAATATGAATATGGGTGATGAACTCAGGATGCACATACCATATGACCCAAAAAAAATGGTTGTGTGACTTTTGGTCTATTAAGGGAGGAACAATTATGACGGGGAACGATCAATCATGTGAAGTTACTGGAATAGGTTTTGTGAAACTTAAATCGGCTGATAAAACACTTAAAACCCTGAAAGATGTCATATATGTCCCAGCCCTTAGGAGAAATCTGATCTCATTGAGAATGCTTGACTTAAATGGTCTAGTATATCATAATAAATGGGGAATTCTTAGTGTTCTTAAGGGTTCTCTAGTTGTAATGAGAGGGATGATGGCACATGACTTGTATATTTCTGAGGGTGAGACAATCTTACTCGAAGTTTGTGCTGTCATAAGGAAAGGGATGAAGCTTTCCATTGGCATAGAAGACTAGAACATATAAGTAACCAAAGGCCGCAAGAACTGAATAAACATGGAATATTAGGTTCGAGGAATTGGAGGCTTAGAGTTTTGTGAGGTGTATGTTTAAGAATAATCATATAGGCAGTCTTTCAACTCCTCTAGAGGCTCAACCTATGATATCCTTGATTATGTCCATTCCGACATTTGATAATCACTTGTTGTCCCAAAGGCTATCACTATTTCATGTCCATTGTGTACTCTCACTCTAGAAGAGTTTGAGCCTTCTTCCTTAAGTACAAGGATCAAACCTTTGGGAGCTTTAGGGATTACAAGTCCTTCGTTGAAAATAAGACAGGTGACAAGGTCAAAGTCCTTAGAAGGTCAAGGTCAAAGTCTCTGATTGTAAAATAAGCGATTAGCGCGCTATTGTTGCACTCTCTTGCACTCTCGTAGAAAATTCTCCTATTGCATAATGACGCACTCTGTTAGTGTGCTGATAGGCGCTTTTAGCACACTCACACAGTGGCTCCCTTGATTTTATTTTGCTCGCTCTAAGTCATTCTAGATTAATTCTTGCTCCAATTCAATTTAATTCTCCTACAAAATAGCAAAGATTACTCAGCTATTTGAGAGGAATAAGGTTACTTGAATCCATGTGTGTTGGAGAGAGAGTGAGGTTTCTAGTATAATTAGGTGTATTTTGGTTCCTTTAACCATTTTTTGGTGCAAAACTAATACTGTTGCTATTCTTGATATAATCTTGGTCCAAGGAAAACAAGGAGAGGTGTTGGTTCACGATCTTGCAAGCCTAATAAGGATCTAGAGCTGGAGGTGGTTGTTCGAAGGGTTCAAACTGGATTGTTGGGTTTTTATAGCATCTCAGTAAAGTTTTCTTTATGGGTTTTATAGAGATAAACTTGGTAATGCAACCTTTTTTTGATATTATTCAAGTGTGCAGCCTTTTAATAGGCAATTGGCCAAACAGATACACAATTTGTTACAGAGCTTTGTTACAGAGAAATGATAAGAGATAAAAACAACTATCTAAATTATCTAACTATCTAGTAACAAACTAAAGAATCTTCAATATAACAATCTAACCGTATAATATATCTAACAGTATAATATCCTAACAAATATTGATATCCTAACAATCTCCAACACTCCCCCTCAAGTTGGAGCATGCAAGGATGAAATGCCCAACTTGGGAAGGAATTCGAAGAACGGACGTTGTCCCAATGCTTTAGTAAACAGGTCCGCAAGCTGGGATCTTGAACGGACGTGAGCAGTGACAATGTTGTTGGCAAGAATCTGTTCTCGCACGAAATGGCAATCTATTTCGATGTGTTTTGTCCGTTCATGGAAGACGGGGTTGGCAGCTATGTGTAAGGCGGCTTGGTTGTCACAAAATAACTCCATAGGACCTGAATGTGGAACACCAAGGGAAGTAAGAAACGATTTGAGCCAAACTAACTCCGAGGTAGCTGCTGGCATGGATCTGTATTCTGCTTCTGCCGAAGAACGGGAGACCGTGACTTGTTTCTTAGTCTTCCAAGAGATTGGGGATGATCCTAGCATAATAAAAAAACCAGTAATGGATTTGCGAGTAAGAGGACAAGATGCCCAATCCGAGTCGCAGTAAGCATGAAACTGTAAGTCACAATCGGACTTAAGAAGTAAGCCTTGGCCAGGATTCCTTTTGAGATACCGAAGGACACGAACGACAGCTTCAAAGTGAGCTTGCTTGGGTTGTTGCATGAACTGTGATAAAATATGAATGGCATAACTCAAATCAGGTCGAGTGATGGTGAGGTAAATGAGTTTACCTATAAGTCTTCGATATCGTTCAGGATTGTCAAACATAGGGCCATCATCCAAGGCGAGGCGATGATTCTGTTCGATGGGAGAGTTCGCAGGCTTACTCCCACTCAAGCCTGATTCGGACAGAAGGTCCAAAGTGCACTTACGTTGACAAAGGAAAATGCCTTGCTTGCTACGAGCAATTTCAATACCCAGGAAATACTTCAGCGGACCTAAGTCTTTGATTTTGAAACATTTGTTCAGATACTCCTTGACTGCTTTACATGCATTAGGATCATTCCCTGCCACTATTATATCATCAACGTAGACTAGGACTGCTAGGAAAGCGTCCCCTCTTTGGAGAGTAAAGAGCGTATAATCTGCCCTTGATTGTATAAAACCATAATGTGTCAAGGAAGAGCTGAGTTTGGAGAACCAGTTTCGTGGTGATTGCCTCAGTCCATACAAGGATTTGGTAAGACGACATACTTTGTGATTGGATCCGTCACTGAATCCGGGAGGAAACTGCATGTAAACTTCTTCACTTAGGTCACCGTTCAAGAATGCATTGTGGACGTCGAGTTGATGTAATTCCCAATTTTTGGCAGCTGCTACAGCAAGTAGTGTACGAACACTCACCATTTTGGCCACTGGTGCATATGTCTCACTGTAATCCTCCCCAGCAATTTGATGATTTCCAGCTATCACCAACCTTGCCTTATAACGTTCCACCGTACCGTCAGAACGGTATTTGATTTTAAACACCCATTTGCTTGGGAGAGCATGTTTGTGTGGAGGAAAATCTGTAATGTACCAAGTTTTATTATCTTCCAAAGCTTGGATTTCGTTCCTCATGGCAGCCACCCACCGTGTATCTCGCATGGCTTCTCGAAAATTTCGAGGCTCTTGATTGGCGTCAATTGCTACAACAAAGGATCGATGTTCTTTAGAAAAATTAGTTAAACTGACATAATTGCATATAGGATACTTAATACCTGAGGTGACATTGGTTCGGATGAGAGGAGGCGAGTGTGTTTCAGCCATGTGACAAGCATAATCTTGCAAATAAGTGGGAAGTTTTCGTGCTCTCTGGTGTCTTGTAGGCACAACATCTTGAGAGGAATATGGCATTGAAATAGCATCGGAGCTCCCCCTATCGTCCGTAGTGGGTTGCACTATTGTGGCAGTTTCACATGACTTCTCTTCAGCGTTTTCTGCAACTACAACGTTTTCAGTTTCATCAGGGAATGATGTAGGCAGCTGAGGGACAATAGGTTCATTCTTCTTTACTCAGAATGGAAATTCTTGTTCTCGAAACTTGACATCTCTTGACACAAAACGCTGTCCAGTCTCGATATCTAACAATCTCCAACCCTTTTGTCCTGTTGGATATCCAATTAAAATACATCGTCGAGAGCGTGGAGCGAATTTGTCATTGGGTTTGGGTCTGAAGTTAGCGAAGCACAAACATCCAAATGTTCTCAAGTAAGTGTATTCTGGTGGGGTTCCATGCAATATCTCATGTGGTGACTTTCCTCCAAGAACCTTTGTAGGTGTTCTATTGATCAGATGTACAGCTGTTAGAATGCTTTCTTCCCAGAACTCAGCTGTCATACCTGCATGAAATAATAAAGCACGCGAGACATTAAGAATGTGTCTATGTCTCCTCTCTACGCGTCCATTTTGTTCGGGAGTATGTACACACGTTGTTTGTTGTAAAATGCCTTTTTCACTCAAGAGTTGCATCATTTTATTAGACTTAAATTCAGTTCCATTATCAGAACGAATTATTTTGACATTTTTCCCAAACTGATTCTGCACCATAGCCATAAATTTACACATTCGATCATAAGTTTCACTTTTCTCGGCCATCATATATACCCACACACTTCTACTAAAATCATCGACAATAGTTAAGAAATAGTAAGCACCCGAAGAGGAAGGAGACTTGTAGGGTCCCCAAGTATCACAATGAACCAAATAAAAACTTTCTTTACTGCGTGAAGTACTCAAAGGAAACACAGATCGAGTTTGTTTGGCACATTGGCAAACATCACATGCCGCACCAGTAACATTTTTATTCAACGAAATATTAATTCCTGGAATCAAAGACAACATATCATAAGATGCATGACCTAGTCTACTATGCCACAGCTCCATAATTCTTCTGCTCGAACTGCTGAAGCCGAAGCATGCTTGGGCTGAAACACATACACTCCTTCCTTGAGCTCACCCAAACCAATCTCCCTCTTCAGTATTTGGTCCTGCAAAAGGCAATTTTTATCAGTAAAGGTTACCATCCTGCTATTATTTCGCAATAGCTGTGAAACAGAAATCAGATTGCATCTCAATTGGGGAACATATAACACATTGGATAGTTTGAATTGTGCATTAAACATCATTGTTCCTTCTTTTTCTGCAAGAGTAACAGATCCGTTTGGTAAAGTGACGGACAAATGATTAATCTTTCTAATTTTAGTCAACAAATTCAAGGATCCCGTCATGTGGCGAGAGGCTCCGCTATCAATAAGCCATTGAAAGTGTGTAATCTTACCAGACAATTTATCATTGGATGGCTGTTCAACCAAGGCAATGAGCTTGTTCATAATTTCAGGTGTCAACATTGAATTCGCTGTGACCTGCAGGGGCACATTATTCTGGTAAGAAGCTGCTGCTGCAGCTTGTTGAAGTGCATCACCTTGATAGGATGCTACGGCTGGTTGAGAGCTTTCCCAAGTCTGCATGGCATGAGCTTGTTGATGTCTTCCTCCTGATCGTCCCCTTCCACGTCCCCGTCCACCAAATCTGTTTGCTGGAAATCCAATGACGTTCCAACAACGTGAGGGATCATGGTTGGTTTTCCCGCAATGAGGACACGACACTCTCTCGGCTTGTTTGCCAGAGATCGTGTGCTGATCATGACTTTCCATCTTGTCTTTCAATCCAACCTGAGCTACATATCCTACCACATTTTCTCGTTCTTCCTGATGGCGGGCAATGTTACGATGAGTTTCTTCTTGCGTAACAATTGCATACACTTTGTTGACATTTGGCAAAGGTGAGGTGTTCAAAATCTGTGAACTTAAATTGCCAAAGACAGCCTCATCAAGTCCCATGAGAAATTGATAAACACGGTCATGTTCCTTCTCTTCTTCGATCTCCTTTGCGTAAGCACACTTGTCTCCACAGTCACACGTCTTGCGGGTTTTACTCCCTTCAAGTTCGTCCCACACAGCTCTTAACTTGGTATAGTATTCACCCACACTATTTCCAAGTTGTTTTATATTAGCTAAACTGGTCTTGAGTTGATATTGACGTGGAGAATTTTCCACGGCATATCTCTCCTTCAAATCATCCCACAAATCTTTTACTTCATCAAAACATTTGATGAATGGCTGCAATTTCGCATCAATGGTATTATGTATCCAACCATTGATCATCGAATTGCACATCTCCCACGCTCGCCATTCTTCCCCGTCATCTTCCTCTGGTTTCTTTACGGTTCCAGTAACGAAACCTAACTTATTTTTCGCTCTTAGTGCGTTTTTCATGAGCTTTGCCCAATTCTCATAGTTGGCTTCTCCACGCAGCATTACAGTTGTAAGCAAAATTCCCGGATTATCCGAACCTGCCAGATGAAATGGCGATCCAGGATCCGAGGGTTTCATCTTGCTGCTGGCCATCTTCCGTAGGGCAAGCTTTCGCACTTTTCCTCACACTGCGGAAGCGTTGTTTAATTTTGGTGCGCTCTGATACCAAGATAAACTTGGTAATGCAACCTTTTTTTGATATTATTCAAGTGTGCAGCCTTTTAATAGGCAATTGGCCAAACAGATACACAATTTGTTACAGAGCTTTGTTACAAAGAAATGATAAGAGATAAAAACAACTATCTAAATTATCTAACTATCTAGTAACAAACTAAAGAATCTTCAATATAACAATCTAACCGTATAATATATCTAACAGTATAATATCCTAACAAATATTGATATCCTAACAATCTCCAACATATAGCTTTCCTGTCACTGCAAAAAAATTTTTTTTGCAACATTACGAGGATACGGTTCCGTATCCTGGGGTACTTTTTTTTAAAAAAAGAAGAAGCAAGTGAGACCTACTTGCTTGTGTCTACTGCTCCCAATAAAATTTTGCAGCGATAACAGACATGCAAAGCCCTTTCTTTATATGTTCTACCTAGGATTATTGCACGCAATGATTGGCTGTGTGGTTACTTGTTTTCAGACTTATGCTTGTGATTTTGTACACCAAAAACCAAATCTAATAAATGACCTTTGGTGTTCTGTTTTCTTGTGTTTCTGTTGGATGTTTTCGTGGGCAAAAAAAATTAAAATATTACTATTTAAATAAATAATTATGAATATATAATTATTTTTATAATATTTACAGATCTATTGTAGAATCTCATATCCAATTTGAATGTCTCCACTCATGCCTCATGCAGGGGTGATAGCCATATGTGAAACACGGACACGAGAATTTTGGAAAAAAATGCGTGTCCGACACGTGTCCGACACCGACACGTTAGATACGCAGTCAACTTTTTTGGACACGTTGACTAGTGGGACACGCGAGTTTGACTGAATCCGACACGCGGTCAATGTATGTAGACATGTTTTGAGACACGTTTTAACATTTTTTTTTTGTAAAAAAGAAAAAAAATTACAATTAAAAAAAATAAAAAATATTTAATAAAAATCAAAAAGTCTGGAACCCTATCCTCATTCCTCTCTCGCGCTGGAGGCTGCCGGTCCTCATCTTCTTCGTCGCCGGTCGTCGTCTACATCTCCGGTTGTTGGTCATCTTCTACATCTCCGGTAATAATCAGAAACCGGTAAGTCTCTTTGGATTCTCTTTTTAGTCATGAACCTACATCTCCGGTTGTGAATCGAACATCCTTCTTTTTAGTCATGAATCATATCTTAGTACCTTTTATGTCTTTTTTTTTTCTCTCCCTGTTTTGAACTTTTCCATCACTTCAGCTATCGGTGACCGGCAGTTCTGTTCATCTTAATACGTGTTTCATCCAACCCTATCATTTTGTACCACATTAATTAGAGATTTTATGTTCCTACTTTTCTGGTTCACCTTACTCAAATGAATCAATTTGACAAGAAGATATGTTCTATCTGATCGGTTGTCTCAAGTGCTCGTATATAACCAATTTCTTTTGATAAACCCTCTGCCTTTGCTAAAGATGTCACAGTTGACGAGTGAAGTGAACAATTAGTTTTCTGTGAGGAATGATTTATGTTTTTTCAAATAAAATAAATAGATTGATTAAACCTAGTTGCTTTAGGAAAATCCCCAACATATGATTTCTAGTCATCTTAGATTTTAACTGAAGATTACTCAACTAAATTCATATACAACTAATAATTCTGTTATGCAAATAGATTCACATACAACAGGTGAATTGAGTGAAATAATGTAATACATTCACATACACATCACTGGTATGCACCACTTAACAGACAAGTTGCATTTTAAGTTTTTGTGAACTCCTTACTAAATACTAACACATGGTCACACTTCTTCTTAAGGGATTTCTTGTAGGTTCATATGGACTAACTTGGGCCCTGAAGAACTCAAGCAGGATATCAAAACTAGCAATACTAAACAGTCCGTTAACAGTTTCATCTGTTATTCCTGGACTTTTTCAGCAGCTAAGGTTTGGTATAGTACCAATGAATTCATGGCCAAAAATTCTGTACCATAGTTTCCTAAATATATTTGTTTATTTTAATCACTTGAAGATTATAACATGGGTACAGTAACTGAATAGTCCCTCCTTCAACTAAAGAGCACCTTCCTATTGCATTAAATTAACTATAGAAATCTTTAAATGAAGTTAAATGAGAGTGAACATGGATTCTCTGTTGCATTCTGTATAGATCTATCACCTTTGCCACTCCTCTGCTATCCTGTTCTCTCTTAATGACAAGAGTCACTAAACTTAATGGATCCTGAAAATTTTAGTTTAGTCAATTTCAGAATTCTGCACCCTCTTGTGCAAACAGAATTTTGCACTCTACATTGCAATCACAGATTTTTAAAGTGCTCTGTTTTATACACTAAATCAATCTCACTAATTTTATTTTTGTTTGATTAGTATTATATGTAAATTTTATTATATATATTAAATATTTGATTAGTATATGAGTTATTGTGAATTGTTATATGTATTAAATGTAAATTATATTATATATATTAAAAATATTATTTAATATTAAAATGTGTTCCAACGTGTCGAAATTTAGCATTTTTTAGAATTAACGTGTCGGAATGTCGTGTCGTGTCTCGTGTCCGTGTCCGTGCTTCATAGATAGCCACATCACTTATGCCTAAAATTGGCATGACCGTTTACGCCCGGAAAAGGCTTGACCCAACACATAAAAATGCTACTCAAGTCTATTATTTTCTTTCAAACTAAGAACTGAATAAAGCACCACTTTTTCAACCTACACAAAAAGCTACTTAATAATGTACACATGGACACACGCCATTGGTTGAATGTGCCCGATTTGACTTTTATGCCTAACTATACCGGCTTTTTGACCCTTATAACCTTTAATTAATAATTAATTACCAATTTGACCTTCATTTGAAACTAATTCGAAAATTTAACCCCTTCAGAAAACATAACACTAATCTGCCCCTATTTGACCGTTGACCATGAAGCCTACCCGAGTACACCCCTCCCTACCCTGGTATTTTTTGAAATTTTTTATCTACCCGGGTAGAGAGGGGTGTACCCGGGTAGAGTTCTTGAATCTGGAAAAATGGTTGAATTAGTTACCCGGGTAAGAAGGGTTGTACCCGGGTAAACATCCAGAGTAGCGTTTTTATATAAATGAAAAAAACTGTGACAGGCATGGTTCATGGACGATAGCAACGAAGATCCAAGGCTTCCTCGCCATGACAGCCCTAATGAATTTGTTTCCATCAACCAATTAGCAGGTCATTACTCTCTCTCTCTATCTATCTATAGTTTTACTTAGTTGTGACGTTGCAGAAAAATGGTGAGTTTTGCAGAATTTGGTCTCTTATACTGGAAGCTGAATCCAAATGATGTTGAGGAAGATTAGAGAAACTAGGGGATACAATTACATGGTAATGTTGTATTAATTTTTTACTAATTTCATTTTGTTTTCTGTAATCAGAAGGTGCTTCAATTTTTTGCGTTTTCATTAACCTGATAGAAATATAAATCCGAGGAGAATATGAATTGGAAAAAGAAACTTTTTAGCATCTCGGTTATATAAAAACGCTACTCTGGATGTTTACCCGGGTACAACCCTTCTTACCCGGGTAACTAATTCAACCATTTTTCCAGATTCAAGAACTCTACCCGGGTACACCCCTCTCTACCCGGGTAGATAAAAAATTTCAGGGTTAAATTTTTGAATTAGTTTCAAATGAAGGTCAAATTGATAATTAATTATTAATTAAAGATTATAAGGGTAAAAAAGCCTAACTATACCCAAGAAAATAAAACCCTTCATAATGATAAAAATTAAATCTTGTTTTGTTTTGTGTTGGTGGGTAGTAGGGTACTGAATTTAACTGAACGATAAAAATCAAATATTGGTATGGTTGACAACGGCACCTTTCAAATTTTATATCATATTCAGAATCGAGTGTTCAAATCAAATCTTTCCATTGTAGCATTTGTAGGTCCTCTGCTACTGACTCTGCAATATGCGTGCTTGCTGGCACAATTGCCTTTGTAATTACCCTTGTCAGAGATAATTCATTCGAAAATTAAGGGGGGCCCTCCTTTTTCTTTCACAAATAATTAAAGTAATAAATAATCTTTGAAAAAAAATTAATTTAAAAGTTTTTAATATAAATTAATCAAACAAAATATTTAACATTAATATTTTTTAAAAGAAAAGAGAATTTAAAAAATGAAACTGAAATAATAATGGAAATTAAAAAAATAATTTCAAACTTATATAAACTGAATTTTAGTTTATTTTATTTTATTGACCTTTTCATTTGGAATGAATGATAAAAAAATCTATTATTATCTCCGACATGTCATGAGTATATATTCAAACTCTGCATAATAATTTTTTTTTAAAAAAATAGTTAACAATTTATTGGCATAAATAATTGCTCATGGAATTTAACCAAAAAAAAAATTGCTCATGGAATTTTTCTTTATTTTCATAACTTTTTTATTTCAGTTTCATTTTATAAAATGCTCTTTTCTTTTTCTTTTTTTTAAAAAAAAACTCCACAGCCAATAACCAATAATTTTGAAGGGTTTTATTTACTTGGGTATAGCTAGGCATAAAAGTCAAATTGGGCGCATTCAACCAATGACGTGTGTCCGTTTGTACATTGTTCAATTCTTTATTCAGTAGCTTTCTGGGTAGGTTGAAAAACAGAGAAAAATTGTGTACGATTTTAAAAGATGTAAAATTGTGTCATTTTAAGAAAAAGAAAGAGATAAATTAAGGAGGAGAAAGAGTTGACAAAAAAAATAAAAGTGTGGATCTCACCTCTTTAAGAGAGTAAAAGAATATAAATTATGTTATTTAAAAAGATAAACACAATTCCTTGAAAAAATAGTGCTTTATTCCGTTCTTAGTTTGAAAGAAAATAGACTTGACTCTTGAGTAGCATTTCTAGGAACAGTGACCAATTTGTCACTGTTCATCATAAAATTTACCAGAATGTCACGCGCACAGTAAAAATTCCCAAACTGCCACGCAGGATAATTCGCTACACAGTGCAGCGAATTAGGCCTGATGATGTGTCACGTCCTCAGTGGTCCACGTATTTCGCTACACAGGGTAGCGAAATACGTGGTCAAATGGTCAGCCCTGCCAGGCAACTTTTGGACACGTGTCACACCCCTGTAAAACACGTAATTCGCTACCCTGTACAGCGAATTATGCAGCAGAAGGGTCAGTTCATGTCAACTCAAAGTCAGGCCACGTGTCACTTCCCCACATAATTCGCTGTACTAGGTAGCGAATTATGTGGTTATTTTTGGCATGACTGGTAGCGAAATATGTAATATCTGCCAAGTGTCATCTCCCCACTAATTCGCTAGGGGGTACAGCGAAATTATGATACTTAATTTGCTACCCCTCAGCGAATTATGAGCTATAAATTACTCCATTTCGGGTATCAACTACCAGTGCCATATTTTTCCTTTTATGTTAAGGTTTACTACTTTTGTGTTGTTGTTGAATCTTAGTTTTTTTTCTATTTTTGTAAGATGAGTGAGGGTAGGAATGATTTAATAGCAACTGTTTATTATAATGGAAGAAAATACTTTGGTCCAAACGGACAAGTGTTTGAAGGTGATGCAAAAATGTTTCGCATGAGCCCAAGATGCAATCTTCACGAGCTGAAGAAGTTAATATACAAGAAGTTAAGATTAGAACGTGGTCAAACTGTTACTCGATTGACCGCTAGATGTGCCTCGGGTAACCCGGTGCAATGGGTTGGTGTGGAAATTGTCGACGATGAAGATGTAACGTTAGTAGTAGATGCAAACACTTCTGAACACGGCGAGTCAAGATTTATTGAATTGTATGCAGAAGTCAACTACGGTGGACAATCCAACAGCAGTCAACCGAGCAATCCATGCACTGACATCATCGACATAAACATGGTGCCCGAGGTTAATCTGGAAGTTGAGGTCGCGTCCCCAACGCTTGCACCACCAACCCAAGAAATTTTGTATGAAGCGGTTCCAGCCAACGACATGTACGATCCATCTTGGCGTACGGATAGTTCCGAGGAAGAGCGTGATGAAGGTCTTGTTCCAGATAGCGAGTCATCAGATACGGATGTCGATGGTGACTTTGATTGTTGTCCGTCTACTGCAGTTGAACAACCAATTCCATCGCCAGGCATTGTCGGAATGCAAGATCCTCCTGTTGCAGGTACGTAAGGATTAATGCTTTATAATAAAATATCTAATATCAAATATAACGACATTTACATTATATATTGGGTTTTTGGATATCTTGTTATGCAGGAAATGATAATGTACCATTTTGGTCTGGAGTAAGCCATTTCACGAATGTTAATTGGGAATATCCAGACCAAGAATTGGATGATATGAATGGAGCACAAATACCTAACTGGCAGATCGGCGACGAGCTATATAAGGACCAAATGTTTGACACTAAGCAAGATGTACAGATGGCAATTAAACAATATTGTATGGCAAATCATCGCACAACTGTCGTTCTAAAAAGTGATACGAAAAGGTTGATTATGGTTTGTCAAAATCATAACGCGGGTTGTCCAATGAGGATGAGAGCATACCAAAAAAAAGGCGGCAGCGAATGGGCGATAGGCATATGGAACAACGAACACACATGTGTTAGTCAATCTCTTACCCAAGATCACAAGCAGTTGGACTCAAATCTCATTTGTTCATTGATCTACACAGACTAGCGAAATACGGGTGGCTTGACACGTGTCCAAAAGTTGCCTGGCAGGGCTGACCATTTGACCACGTATTTCGCTACCCTGTGTAGCGAAATACGTGGACCACTGAGGACGTGACACATCATCAGGCCTAATTCGCTGCACTGTGTAGCGAATTAGCCTGCGTGGCAGTTTGGGAAATTTTACTATGCGCGTGGCATTCTGGTAAATTTTATGATGAACAGTGGCAAATTAGTCACTGTTCCGCATTTCTATGTGTTGGGTCACGCCTTTTTTAAGGTGAACGACCTGTGTGGGGCGTGAGTTAGAGATGTCCAAATTGGATATGAGATTATGCAACCTTTGTATTTGGGGTCCTTGGTCTCAAATATGCAACCGTTACTATTTTTAATTTTGAAATTAACTTTTTAGAGATTTTATATTTCTATTTTTAAAAAAAATTATTTAATTATTTAAAAATTTTAAACATATTCTTAAATTAAAAATGCCCTTTTCTGCACTTGAACCGATACCCTGGCTCAGTTTGAGGCTTTCAACTTTTACCATTAGACCAACTCTTTTTATTTCTCATTTTGTTTCTAATTTTATAATTAATATGAGTTTTATATTTCTTATGTTATATGAGATGACTCTTCTTATGTCATATAAACAAAAATTATGTGAGATCTATATGTTAAAAAAGTCACGTGTGACACCCATATCAGCACGGAACATGAGAAGCTATGATGTACAGACACTGACACGGGACACGACACGACACGCCACGCCGACACGTTAATTCTAAAAAATATCATATTTTGATACGTTGGGACACGTTTTAATATTAAATAAAAAATTTAATATATATAATATAATTTATATTTAATACATATAATAAGAGTCTATAATAAGTCATATAACCAATCAAATATTTAAATTTCATAACATAAATATAAATATAGATAATTTTTCGTACTTTGTTAATTTTTCATGTCAAATTTTATAATAGAAAAAATTAATTTATAAATTATTTTTTTATATTTAGTTAATAAAATAAAATTAAGACTAAAAAACAAAAACGTGTCCCAGCGTGTCCGAGTGTTGACCGCGTGTCCAAAAAAATTGACTGCGTGTCGGAAAAACGTGTCGGAGAGTTGATCGCGTGTCCCCAAATATTGACCTCATGTCGAACGTGTGTCCGTGTAGGACACGTGTCGGACACGAAAATTTTTAGGGGTTATTTATTTAAGAAGAAAATAATCAAATATTGTTAAAACACATAATTAGTTCTTGCCTCTATGGCTATCGATGATAAAGGTTTTATGTTTTAACAAATTTCAAGAAATAAGTAATCGCCACAATATGTTGAAAAACATTTAAGAAAGAAAATTTATAATCAACTTAATCTAGTAGCGAAATATAGAAGTAAGAATCCTAACTTCCAAAAGAGGATGAAAATATGTATTTGACATTTCATAACACCTATGTATATATTACAAAGGCAGATTACACGTAAGTGGTTTTTTTATCACTTAAGATAATAACACTAGCAAAGTTAAATTTCAAGAAGATGAAGTTAGGCAATAAGAAAATCGGTGTATTAATTTAATAAATTAGATATCCAATTCAAAAATAAGTTAAAATACAAATTTCAGAAAAAAAATAAAAAATTAAGAGGATGAAACTGTCTTTTTTTGCATAATCAAATACACGAGGCTCTATTCAGTTCATTGAGTTCTGATCACAGCCAAAGCGAGGCAATTCACAATTACAAATCAACTCGTGTACTATCACTTCTTATTATTGAATGCACAAGGAACAAAAAAAACCAATAAGTTGAGCTATTTACAGCCATGCAGGATTGTTGACTGGTGAGACAACAGCTTTCACCTGAAGGTAGTTGTGAAGACTGTAGATTCCTTTCTCCCTGCCTATGCCGCTCATCTTGTACCCACCAAAAGGAATTGCAGCATCAAAAACATCGAAGCAATTAATCCACACTGTTCCTGCTCTCAGTGCCCTCATCAAAGTGTTGGCTGTGCTCACGTTCTTAGTGAACACACCTGCGGCTAGACCATAACGTGTTGCATTTGCCCGTCGTATTACTTCATTAATGTCCCTAGTACATATAAAGCACAAATTATTAGAAAAATCCCATAATGCCACATTAAAGTATACCTGCTCTGTATTGTGTTGTTACTTGTTTGGTCACGGATGCTCTGATACTATATTAAACAACCATCTCACCTAAAAGCTCAAGCTATTAAGTGAAGACTTTTTTAATGGTTTTTTATATTTTTCTATCTCTAATATTTTATACCATCTTCTTGCATTGTGATTTTACAAGATGTTGTTCTCTTTTTTCATGTGAGACACTTGCAAATGATGATGAAATCAGTTTATTTAGAAGGATCCACCCAGAATAGGATGATACCAAACATTTACAGTGAGAAGATTTTAATAAAATGTTGCAATTCCAGTTTTCCATTGACATCATGTAGATTTATTTGATTTAAAATTTTAGTTTGGAACAGAAATGTATCCATACTTAGATTTTAGCAAAGAGAAACAAGCACATGGGGATTCAAATTTCACTCACTTGAATTTCAAGATGGACTGTACCGGGCCAAAGATTTCATCTTGTGCTATCAGCATATTATCCTGATCAGCATGTGTGTTAGAAAATGCTCCAATATAGAATCTTACTGCATTAATTTCTGCAAACCACTTGTGGCAAATAATCAATACCTGAACATTTGAGAAGACAGTTGGCTCCACAAAGAAGCCTTTTGAGCCCAATCTCCCACCCCCACATTCAAGGGTAGCATTGCTTTCAATTCCAGACCTAATGTACCTAAGGACTTTCTCAAATTGTTCCACGTCAATCTGGAAATTTTGCAAGGGCCATGAATTAGTGATATTTTGTTACATCAGAGTATGATCAAGAATGTGGTGTTCTGTTAAACGTTAACTTTTCCAATAAAAAAGGATACTCAACATTCACCAAAAAAAAAAGGGACACTCAACACTTCATGCACACATGATTGTTAGGGAGGAAAAAAAAGAACAATGGGGCAAGTACAATAAATTTTAAAAAGAAAAATACCTGAGGACCTTGTTCAACACCCTTCTTGAATGGATCACCAACTACACGTCTCAAAGCCCGTTTCTTTGATTTCTCCAAGAACTCGTCATAGATACGCTCATGCACAAAGGTACGAGACCCGGCACAGCAACATTGCCCCTAGAAAGCATCCAGCATAAGGGATAAGCTTCTTCTTGACATTTGCATATCCAGGTTCAAGGAAGTGGTGGAACTGAAAACTGATTGAACAAACCTGATTAAAGAATAGAGCAAAGTGTGCAGCTTCAACAGCCTTGTCAACATCAGCATCCTCACATATTATGAAAGGTGATTTCCCTCCAAGCTCCAATGTCACTGGCTTAAGATTGCTTCTTGCAGCCAATTCAAGTACAATTTTTCCAGTATCTGTTGACCCAGTGAATGCTAGCTGCAAAAATAGAAGAAACAAATTTGAACTTTTATAATATACATGGTAAAAAAGAGAACTAAGTAAAAAAGAAGGGGAGGTGACGAACGAAAAGTTAGGAGACTGGATTCAATTCTTCATTCCACCAAAATGGACATCATACACTATATAACCATATATTAAAAGCATCCTTAACAACAAGCCAGGTTCATTCTTGATGCTTTACAACACTATATACCATATAAGAGAAGTCTTCCCAAAATACCTTGTCCACATCCATATGACTTGCAAGAGGTGCACCAGCAGTTGGACCATACCCATTAACTATATTCAGAACACCTGGGGGAAGGCCAGCCTGCCCAAAAGGGTGAAGATTACAAGTTAAACCTTCAGGAAACACAATTAAAACTGAAATAGTCATCAAACACAAATTGAAGTTAACTTATGAGGTCAAAAACTAAAGGCTATAGAAATTGTTTGACAATTGACACCACATACTAACACATTCTGCAACATTATTCCAAAAGTACTGAGCAATCCAATATATAGTGGTGGAAGAGAAAGATAACATGACATAGGTAATGAGTTATGAGCTGACCTCATGAAATAGTTTTGCCACATAGAGAGCAGTCAGTGGCGTTTGCTCAGCTGTCTTCAGGACAATGGTATTGCCACATGCTAGAGCTGGTCCAACTTTCCAAGCAAACATAAGTAGAGGAAAGTTCCAAGGTATAATTTGTCCTGCAACTCCAATTGGTTCATGCAATGTCTGGAGGTGATAATTGCCATCAGCTGGGACTGTCAGCCCATGAATTTTATCTGCCCAGCCTGCATACGAATAATGGTTCGGATGGGGGGTGTTAACAGAAAATGTTTTAAAACAAAAGATAAAAAATTGATGAATCAACACAATAAACATCTAGTTGTTGTTACTGATCCTACCAGCATAATAGTGAAATAAACGCACAAACATTGGTAATTCAGTCTTGGCAGCCTGTTCATAAGGCTTTCCATTGTTCCATGTCTCCAGAGCTGCAAGCTCATCGTTGTGCTTCTCAACTAAATCAGCAAAGCGCAGCATTATCCGACTTCTTTCCTGAAGGAGTTATTAATAAATCATCATCATCATTAATTAATTGAATGTGGTGCAAGAAAGGGAGGAGATTCAGAAAATGCCTACATAAGCAGTCATTTTTGGCCAAGGTCCTTCATCAAAGGCCTTGCGAGCTGCTGATACTGCACGGTTGATATCTTCAGCTTCGCTTTCAGCAACATGTGCAAGCACTTCTCCGGTGCGCGGGTCATATGTTGGAAATGTTTTCCCTTAGACCAAAAGAAATTGCAGATGAGGCTATAAGGTCCACCATATGATTATGTAAGTGGGAAAAGCTAACTTTTTTTCAACTCCACTCAAATCATGGATTGAGACCCAAAATCATGTTCAAACACAATATAACCATGATTTTGCTAAACATGTTATTTATGATTGAAACTCAGTTTTGCACATCTATAATCCAAACATGATATAAGAATCCTTGTTCAAACTAGACATACCTGATGCAGCATCCACAAATTGCCCATTTATCAGATTATGTGTATAACTTATTTGAACCTGTGGAGTGATTAATTCCTCAACTGCTGCAGCCGTGCTAAATCTGTTAATGTTTCTCCACCCTCCAGAGTTTCTTCCTGGGGAAAAACAAGATAAATCATGTGAACTCTTATGCAATGAATTGAAGAATGTATTCTGATAATCTAGTTTTCAATCCCTACATTACACATAGACAGTAAGAGAAATTAACAGAGAGAGAGAGTTACAGATTACACATAGACAGTAAGAGAAATTAAGTAAAATAAACAAACAAATTTAAAAAAAAAAAGAAAAAAAAAAAGTGGCAGATAATAACTAGTAGCCCAAGGAAGATTCTCTTAAATACTAAAGTTGGGTCTAAAATCAAAAGTTGAATGTAATTTAAAAACAAAAACAAAGAAAAATTTGGTGTGGTAAACAAAAGTGAGTATGCTAGTGAAATCATCCAAGAACAGAGGCATGCAGGCCAAAGATAAGGAAGAAACTGAAACACGGTTGAGCACCTAGTGAATGAAGCAAAGAAGCAGATAGAGAGCGAGAAAGCAGCCAGGAAATTCTGCGAGCTGCCATGGTCAAAGCAAGTCTCTCAACGTTAAAGATTGTTGCCTCCTCCTCCTCCTCCTCCTTCTTCTTCTTCTACTACTACTACTGCTACTTCTCCTCCCTCCCTTTGTTCTGATGATAAAAATGATTGCATAACTAAGTACCATTTATTATTTATGTGTAAACGTCACTATTACTATTATTTATTTATTTTTAAAAAAAGAAGCAAATGATGAAAGCAATGTCATCTTGTGGATGCTACTTTGTCCAAACTTGTGGTTTGAAAAGATAACATAGTATTGAAACGGAACCAAAAAATATATATATAACTAGAAGAGGAAGTTGAAAATTTCAATATCGCTTGTCTTTATATTAAGGCCTTGTAGGATTCCTCTTCACGAACAGCTCACCTCAGCGTCGCAGCACGAACAACCTCCTTGAAGCTGGACTGTGGCAGATCTTCCAAACTATCTCTCGAGGAGAAAGGGGAAGTGTGTGGGCACTGATTAGATTCAGAGCTTGCCTCTTTCTCACAAAAAAGACCTTGGAGGCTGATGACTTAAGAGGTACTATTTATATGGGTTCCAAGAAACCCTAGCTCATTGGGCTCTAGGTTCCTTGGGCTCTTCTCATACTAATAACCCATTTGGGCTTTAGTAAAAGAGCAAACCCAACAATCTCCCACTTGCTCTTTTGGATACAAACTTGAGTCGTAAAACCCAAGATCATGTAACCCATAAGTCATCATCTATCCGAAAAATACCCCATCCCTTGTCTCAAGCTAGCTTGGGGATCTACCATCTGTTATTAATCAAGGCTCCTGATAATCAACGAATGATTATCTAATTCGGTGCTACTCCACTAAAAGCCCGAACTTGAACTCCAAGATTAACAACACTTATAACATGAATATGCATCGCCCCTTTGTAGAATGTCTATAATTGATTGACAAGTTTTCTGTAACTCAATCAATTATTTATTCCCTTGACTATGATAGTTTCTTTAATGGATTACATGCACTGGCCAGTGTCTTTAATATCCAAGTACCGAAACATATCAAGGGGACATATCCTACAAATTCCATGTTGTTTATCTCATAAATACCGATAATCAAATAATCTCACTCCCAAAATACCGAGTTATTGGCCGTCAATAGATCGAACCTCACCCGTTGGTAAATCAAAGAATGAAAACTATTTGATTACCTATTTATAATAAACTCAGGATTAAGAGCAATCACATAACTATAGTTAACTGGAGATTTGATACCTTATGACAGAAAAACAACCTTAATCAAATCTCTCCTTGATCCTTTCAATGTGAATGTTAACTCACACCAATATTTTACAATGATTCAGACAAAACCATTTCATAAAATATTGCAGCCTAAATAAAGTGCCCAACTTTATTTAACAGCTGTGAATCCATTCATCAATTGTGAGAACCTATGATCATGTCCTCTATGAACGTATCCATATGATCATATACTCCACAATTTGATCCGGACCTTTATGTTTGTAAATAGTGCGCAAAATAAATAAATAAAACCTTATTTATGAAATTCAGAAAATTATTTTATTGTTTCATTGTCTTACTCCAAGAGCACAATGAAACCAATAACTCCCACTTGCTTAATGCAAGTCTGGGATCCTCGTAAGACCCAAAGAAGTAACATGCCTCTCGAACACAAGTTCAGGCAAACTCTTAGTAACTGGGTCTGCAAGATCCACCTCTAATGCTATCTGAGTTTAGTGAAAAACTCATAGCTCGAGGTTGATTTTCTTGAGTCAATATCCACTTGAAATAACTGAATTTTTGAAAACTCAGCTTTTCAAGACTCCCAACCAGCATATAATCTCTCGTTCTCCAAAGATACTTGAGTACATGCTTAACAATAATCTAGTATTCCTCTAGGTTCAAAATGGTACTATCTCACTACTCCCACTGCGTGACAGATGTTTGGTTTAACGCCCAACATGATATGTGTGAGTCTACCTTTGCCAAAGCATAAGATATCTTGCTCATGCATTCTTCCTTCTTAGAAGTCTTTGGTCACTCCTTAGGAAGATGAATTCCACATCTGAGAATTATAATTCTTCTCTTAGAATTCTCATGTTGAATTTTGGGTTTTGTCAATGTAAGTAGCCTGAGGTGATGCCAACAACTTATTCTTCCGGTCTCATAAGAGTTTTATACCAAGAATATAATTGGCTTCCCCAGTACTTCCATACCAAAACACTAACTTAGCCAACTCTTTATGCTTGATATTACCTCCACATTGTTTCTAATAAGGAGCATATCATCTACATAAAGTACCATAAAAGCTACTGTCTTCCGTTGTATCCTTTACATACAAATACACATCATTCATCAAGGTTCTCTCAAAATCAAAATTTTGATAACCTGATCAAAACTGATGTTTCAAGACCTGGATGCTTGCTTAAGTCTATGAAATAGACTTTCACAACTTGCATACCGTGTGTTCCTACTCATTTGCTATAAACCCTTTTGGTTGTTGTATGTAGATATCCTGACATCCAACTCCCAAAATGTATTCTCATAATTGAGACTTATAGCAACTAAGAGAATCTGGATAGACTCAAGCATGGCGTCTGGCAAAAAATGCCTCCAAGCTAGCTTTGAAGGTTTTCACCTTTCTGTCCATCCTCTCTTTGCCTTTTATGTCCACATGCACCTTGTGGGTTTTACCCTTCTTGGTGTCTTTACTAGGACCGAACGGAGTTGAAATACAAGTATTTCATCTCATTGTTCATAGCCTGAGCAACACTTGATCAACAACATCTTCTAGTGCATTATCGTAACTAGTAGGATCAATGTCACTCAACAAGAAACAACTTGAGAGTTAACAAGGTTCTCTCCCACTACGAATGTACTGTACTAGACCTTGGGTATTTATAGGTAAAACAAATAGTGGGCCAAATGATGGATCTTCAATTTCTTGAGGATCCGCTTATCCTTGATATTGTTCCTTTACATGTGATACTAATATTTCTACTAGTTTCACTTATATATTATCATGTTGAATTTCCAATCATGGTTCTCTTGTTTGTTCACTTAGAGATATATCTATCCCCTCTTGAACAATCAAGGGAACAGTGGATGAAGCTTCTAGAGATTCTGGAAATTCTTGATCTGAGATAAATCTCATCAAGAATAACCTAACTTAAGAGCTTATAATTTCTTATCTAGTCCTCCTTTAAGAAAATCATGTGAGTGCTCACTTAGATTATCTTGTCCTTAAGACTAAATAAGAAATCATCTCTAGTACTCTTAGGGTAGCCAAAACATATGCACTCTTCCATACAAGATTCCATCTCATTTGACTGCTGTTGTAGGACGTGTGCCATAGCACCCTAAATCCGAATATGGTTTGATCTGGGCTTACACCCTTTCCATAATTCTTTAGGTGTCTTTACAACAAATTTTGACGGAATCAAGTTAAGAAGGTACATTTCCTTCTCTTATGCATCTCCCTTGAACAACATTGACAAAGATGAATAACTGAACATGATCTTCACCAAGTCTAGAAATGTTTGATTTTCAAATACTGCAACTTCATTCAACTAACGCATTCTTAGAGTTGACAGTTACAAAAACTATCCCCTCTTAAATCAGTAAGACCTGAAATTACCAGACAGGTAGCCAAACACTTTATTAGACCAAAGTGTTTTGATTTGAACACCTACATGCTTTTCTGCCTCAGACTAAACCTCTTGGAAATTTCCAAAAGCTTTAGACTTATGGCGCACTTGGTTCATCTGTCCAAATCCAGAGTAAACATTCATATAATGAAGTACTCATCACCTCTTCTGGTCTGAACACTAATTGGTCCACATACATTAGTATGTACCAGTTCCAGTTGAATAGTTGCGCAAACCTTTTTGGCCCTTGTAGGATTGCTTGGCCACTTTACCTTCCAAATAGGACTAACATGTAGCTGTTAGTTAAAAGATTCTTGAACTTTCAGTATCTCTTTTAACTAAAACATATTTTCTACTTGAGATAATGTGACTCAATCACAAAGGCCAAAGTTATGTTTCATTTGAAACTTTTATTTCTTTGGTGAAAATCCTTGTTCATCATCCTTTCCATTCAACATAACAAATTTAAAAAGGTTATAGGACATAGGTAATAAAGACTATTTAAACAATGTACCAGAACAAACAAGACGAAGATGAACTTCGAAATGTAACTGAGGAATCAATTGCATTGTCAACCCATGTTTTAACCAAAACAACTAACAAAAATTGAATTCCTCTTGAAATCTAGAACAAATAAACAGTCACCCAAAACCATAGTCTTATAAATAACTTGTCTTACTGCAAATGCAGACACAAGTTCCCATTTTCAAGCTTAAAATATCTATGTCCATTGCTGACAGGTATGCCATGTTTGAACTACTTCAAAGAGTAACAAACATAATCAGTGATTCCTGAATCAATGATTCATTCACTGATCAGGCCTCAATATACCCATGTCTGGTTCTTTTCATCACCTCTGGGCAATTTTTCTTTCAGTGTCCCTTCAGTCTGCACTTGAAGAACTTGCCTTGCGGCTTCTTCATAGCAACTGGTTTGACAACTGATAACCAAGTCATTTTGTTCTTGTTACCACCCTTGGGTTTCCCTTTGGATTTAACAAGACTCTTAGCAAAACCTGCACCGACTGCATTCTGTCTAGCAGAGCTGCTAGACGCAGCAAACATGTCATTAAGAGTCTGAAGCATTTTTACTCCACTCTTAATCATGTACACTTGCTTCTGCAAGTATTTGGAAAGACTGACAATAATATAGCAGCGAACTACCATTTCTGCCATTTCCCAATCTGAGAAATGCATCTTAGTTTCCTTAGACGTATTCTCTGCAGGTTGCTATGGCCCTCGCATTGTCAGGACAAATTTTAGCTTCCATGTTTTAGAACAATATCAAAAGATTTGCTTTTCACTTATTCATAGTTGGTACCATCTAGAGGTTTTCGACTCAAAATCATTTCTAAGATATTTTCTGAAATACATATAAAGCACACAATTACAAACAATAATGCAATAAACAAACGAAGTGCGAGTAGATTCTCATAACTACTCTTGTTTATTGTTAACAATC